TTCAGTGAGAATTATGTGCTCCTTAAGAGGGCAGAACAATGGACAAATGCTGCTGGGACACAGGCCGGGGTCTGATCATCTCCGGCCGGGTCGCCTGGGCGAGGGTGTCTGACGTTGAAAGACCCGAAACACCCAATGAACCCAGGATTCATCACTGATAATGTGTCCCAGTGCATCTGCATGATGTATCTTTTAACTTTTACCTGGTGAAATAAAAGTTTAAGTATTTTAATATTTTATTTCAGTGAGAATAATGGGTCAGATTCCATGCGTTGCTCTTTCTGAAACACTTTAATTTAAAGCCTTAATGCTTGTGGATTTTATGTCCATGTCAAAAAACACACCAAGTGTGTTGTACGTTTAAGTGAAACATGTGTTTCTGTATGTCATCTATGTAATTGTATGTTTAGATATTAATCTGTATACTTTAATGTAACTAAAATAAACTTAGAATTAAGAATGATCAATAAACTATTTACTAACATTCATGACAAATTTCAAATAATATAAGTATTTATTTACTCTAAAATAATTTTTTTTTTTAATCTCTATTGTGATCCATGTTTCATTTGCTGTGTCTTAGTGAGAAAGCAAAGAGAGCATGAGTGTTTCTGCGGTCAAAAACACTCCGGATGAGTATGAGGATGACTTTGAGAAAGACCTGGACTGGCTTATCAGCGAGGAGAGCAAGGGTGAGGAACAGGTAAGTGAGTCACTGCAAAATGATGTCAGAAACAGGTTCATATCTTGGAGACAGTTCTCTGGAATAGTGTGTGGTATTCCATTACACAGACGCTGTACCTGTGTGTGTGAAATCCACCCCACTGACACAGATCCATACACACTTTCACTCACCCAGAGAACTATGTCTCATGGTGTTCCATTATTCAACACATACGCTCTATGTATCTGATTCTTCAGAGATCATGCTCTCCTTAACTTGCACAATGCCGTTTTTCTTATTTTGTTTTGCTCAAACTGAACGCATTATTTTCCACAACAAAGGATCCTGATGATGATGACGTTGAAGCTCAGATCGACAAAGAGCTTGAAGAAGATGAACCTAAAGAAAGAAAGGATGTGCACAAACACAGGGAAATGGATGATGACGAAGCAGATGAAAGGTGGCCAACACCTATGGAGCCATTAGAAGGTGCGTTAGATCCCGACAGGGATGACCTTATAACCTCTCCACATTTACAAAGCGACGAAGACCTCGATGAGGAGAAGAAATACATTTTGGAAAAGATTCAAGAGGCTAACAAACAACTCCAGGACCAGGATCCTCCAGACCAGAGCCGCCGCAGACGGCTGCAGTTTAAAGACACTCTGGTTGACCTGGTGGTGCCTGCGCTGGATTTCGACACTCAAGAGAGCAACAGCGCCTCCTATGAGCACTTAGAGGAAGATCGAGAGGTGTCCGGACAAATGCAGAGGCTGGCGATCTCTCAGGGAGAGGGAAGAGACATAGGAGACCCTGAGGATGAGCACAACGAGGGAGCGAAAGAAGGACGGGTTTTGGTTGAAAAAGATGGAAAGTTTGATCTGGTGAGTATAAAGGAGATGGAAAGTCAAGGATTGCTTCCTCCATTGCCGGTTTCTCACAGCGACAGTCAGCGAGCGTCTTCACGGCAAAATGAGCTTGATCTCCATCTCAGTAAGAGTCCTGTGTCCTCTCTGAGACAGAATTCTACCTCATCTTTTCCCCCTGGAACTGAGTCTTTGTACATTCCCAAACCTCCACCAAAGCACAGAAATAGACCCAGTTCTGCCAGACTGTCCCAAAGGGGAGCATGGGTCGAGGGCACCAAGCGCAGGGTCCAGTCTGCAAATGGAGCTTCTTCACATGCCACCTTCACCCTGTCACCACAGCAGAAAGAATTACTGGCCAAACTTCAGCAGCGGAGGGAGAGGCAATCCAAAGAGGTGGAATTAAAAACAGTTTCTGTCTGAATGTGTTATAAAATCTGATTTCACTTTCTATTTGACAGCTTCGTTCAAGCAGGTTTAATGTTTTTTTTAGACTTCTCCCTCCTCTTTGCTTCTTCAGGATGAGTTGAAGAAAAAAGAGGAAGAGGAACAGAAACGTCAGGAGAACGAGATAGCCTTCCAATCGTGGCTTATGAGGAAACGAGAGCAGCTGCTGGACGAAAGGAGAATTCAGAAAGCCCAGGAAATGGAAAGGATGAGCTGCATGGTATGTCCACTAGGAGGACATTTAAGCAGAAAAAAAAACAGGAGAACAGTGGCAATGTCTATTATGCTTGAGGAAACCTACCTGCAAAGCTACAATACTGTGAAAAGTTTAGACATTTGTGTAAAAATGCTGTAAAGTCAGCATGCTTTCAAAAATAATATCATATATAGATTTAACTTTTTGTCCTAGTTACACTTGCACATAGTTTTTTCAGGTAGATTTCCTAAAGCATCTTCATGTGATCACAGATGGACTCTGATGGTGAGATCAGATCTCCATGTGGATCATACTAGCTGTTGTCAGACTCCTTGTGCTTACAAAAATATCACTGGATTATTACAATTAATGGCAAAAGGAATGTTTGGACTGATATTTCCTACTGACAGACACACACAGTGAAAGATATAAATAACTGGCTTAAAACCTTTTTTTTGGATATATATATATATATATATATATACATACACACAGTAGGCATATACTGTATTGATTATTTTTTCCAAAAAATGTAAAAAAATATTGACAGACACAGACACATAAAATGTTTATTTTATATATATATATATATATATATATATATATATATAGTATATATAACATTATTTATAAAAAATATATTATAATATTAAATTATTTTATATATTTATATATAAACATTATTTTGCATATATATATTAAGGGCTGTCAAATGATTAATCGCGATTAATCGCTTCCAAAATTAAAGTTTGTGTTTACATAATATATGTGGGTGCACAGTGTATAATTATTTTATATATATAAATACACACACATGCTTGTATATATTTAAGAAATATTTTCATGTATATACTGTATATAGATTTATATATAATTTATATTATATATAAATATTTTATATATAAATAATATATTTCTTTTAAATATACATGCATTGTGTGTATATTTATATATATACAAAATAATTATACACTGTGCACCCACATATATTATGTAAACACAAACTTTTATTTTGGATGCGATTGATCGCGATTAATCGTTTGACAGCCCTAATATATATATAAATGTAAGATAATGTTTATATATAAATATATAAAAATAATAAAATATTATAATATAATATTACAAAAAATAATGTTATGCTAACCAAAGATTGTAACTTTTACTGTTTTTGTTGTTCTGGTAGAGGGATTCTGGTGACCCAGAGGAGGCCTTTAAACAGTGGCTCCAGAAGAAACAGGAACAGCAGTTCAAAGAAAAACAGGTTGAAGAGATGAAGAGACTGGAAAAGGAGAGCGGCTTTTGCCTGCACAGTCGAGAAGAGAGTGAGAAGGCCTTCAGGCAGTGAGTTCAGAACCATATTGCTCTTCTAAAAATCAGAAAAGAGAGGGAGAATCGTATTTGAAACTAACGTGCAAGCATTTCCCTCTTGTTCTTTTGGACAATAGATGGTTGAGACGAAAGCGTACAGAGAAAAGAGCAGAACAGCAGGCAGCTCGAGAGCGCTCACGCAGGCTCGTGCTGGAGGAACGAAGAGCAAAACGCATGCATGACCTCGTCTGCACCGTCAATGAGATAAAACCCTTTCGATTCAGTGAACCCTGTGGATACCACTACTGATCACCTCGTACACATCTGACCATTGTTATAACCTGTAGCTCCAATTCAGCAATCCATGTGGTTACTGCAGAGGCACCCATTCAACTGTATCTATGGTTACCTTTCTATTGAACATCTCAAAGATGTCTCATCTCCCTGATACAGTGGATAAAAGATCATGTGGTTAGCAACACAAATAGGAGCTCTCTTTTATTAATTTTCTATTCATCCATTTTCAGTGTACAGAGATCAAACAGGTGCTCGACTGGATGTCCCGCCGATCCAACAGCTTTAGGCACTTAAAATAATTGCTACACCAAGATGATTTAATGGAGTATTGCATAAATGCGGAATCATCAGATACGGTCATTTTTGTTTAGCTGCAGAACAGCAGGAACAATAGAAATGCAGCAGCACAGTCCCAAAGCTTCAATGATCTAGGGGTGGTTGGCATGATATTTACTGCAAAGTAAAATGCTGTTCTCCATTCTAAACTGCATTGCTTTTATAATTATTATGCATGCACATTTGATGATCTCATATTAACTGAAAGACTATGGATTTGTACTTTTAAAAAAAGTGACTCAGTCACTGATAAGTTATATACACATTTATACAAAATTGCATGTTAAAAATTCTAATCTTAAAGTTGATTAAAAAAAAAGTCCATAGGCATATTATGCATCAAATATATAACATTTCTAGCTCAAACAAATGCTGTTTGTACTATTTATTCATCATAAAATCCTTAAAATAATGTATGTTTTCAACATGATAATAATAAGAACTATGATTAATTATTATTTAGCGCCAAAAATACTTGACGTGCATATTAGAATGATTTCTGAAGGATCATGGACATTGAAGACTGGAGAATAATTAATTATATTTTAACATATATCAAAATTGAAAACAGTTATTTTAAACTGTAATGATAATTCACAATAGTACTGTTTTTACTGTACTTTGATCAAATAAATGCAGCCTTCAAAAACATTTATAAAATCGTAGGCTTTTTTTTGTACTTGTTAACTTTTGACAGATATAGGCTAGTGTATATTCAACATGAGAAATCAGTTTATAATATTTTTAATATATAAAAATATTATATTTTTCAAAATGTCACATGTCATGGGCTGTGTTGTATTAGGAAAACTACATTACCCAGAATCCATGTTGTGCGTCTTGCGCAGAACTCTCTATACCGCTAATGAGTCGTTGAGGGATGCAATGCTCCATAGCAACATCAGTACCAGCGGAGGAGCGCTAATAGCGGACGCCCTGGGATAAATATCCTGAGAATATCTGAAACAGGTGCTGCATGCTGACAGCATGGACGACCAGAAGGTAAGCAGAAACCGTTGTTATGGAGAAATGATCACTGATACGCGTCAGATGAAAAACAATAAGATGCTGCGTTATAAAAGAGATACTAAAGACGAAATACCGTTAGCTCGTAGCTTCACTTCCAAATGTCCTCCGCCCATTGTGTACGTGGAAATGTGTCCTTGTAAAGACAGCCTTTTGGAAGTAACACCTTCACATCGTTAGGATTTCTACATTGTTTTAAATCCATGATGCAGGGATGACGATTTCTCCAAAATGTTGATCAACAACATTGTCAGTCTGAATCCCCAGAAACCGCCCTGGTTCTCGCAGCTCTGTAACGAGAAACGAGATTGTTTTTAAATATTTATTAGAGGAAATGTTCTTAAGGGAGGAAATAGCATTTCTTTGCAGTGATGCATAAAAAAAACACAAGCCAAAACAAATTTTGGTGCAGGGAAACACCAAACCGGCCTGTATTGTTAGAAGCTTCAGGCTTCAGGGAGGCGCCCCGGATATAAAGCCGCTTCTGCGTGGCTCATCATCAGCGACTTAATCCAATGCAAGTAGCCTGGAGGAGATGAGAATGAAAAATGACATTTCTGATCAACCCTGCATGAGTAATATAGTAATTTACAGTAATATCAGCTCATTCTCCTTCCTCTGTCTAACGAGTCTTACAAGTCTCTACTCGTGTCCCAAAGCAACACAAAAATAGACAATGAAATTATGTCATCGATAGGAAAGTATTAGCTGAATTACATTAAACAAATTGTGTTAAAGGTGCAGTCAGTAATTTTTTGCCAACTAAATTGATTTTTTTGTTGTTGTACAAAATAAATAAATAGCACTTTTGAGAAATATTAAAATGACTCCAGCCATCAGTCTAAATAAAGGAGTTCTGAGGTCCTCCCTAATGAGTGCTACCATGTTACTGTCACATGACCAACCATCAGTTCCACCAACTAAAAAAAAAAAAAACAGGCATGCATACTAATAAAAGTGGTTATATATTAGTATATACTATTTAATTAAAGGTGTAAAATTGTCCAAACATAAGTGAATTCTGCTACAATTCAAAGCAATGATACAATCTAATAGGACTATAACAATGAACATATGTAAAAACCTTTTGCGTTATCTTCTTTGTGAGACTGTACACATGCAGTAGTCATTGTCAGTCTATTATTGGTTTGATTATGTTTTGGTATTTTATGACTCAGTGTATGAATGTATTCCTGATTTTACATGCATGTTTCAGGAGTCACTGAGAAAGATTATCACTACGTTGGCCCAAAAGAATGAAGAAATTCAGAACTTCATCTGTTGTCTAAAGCAGAATCTAGAGAACCTAGAGGTAATCACCATAGTAAGCCTTCTCTTTTTACTCACATTTAGTTAGTGAACTGTTTGATGAATCAGGAAATGTCTTTGTCAGCTTTCAGATGGCCCAAAAACAGTGTTTACCAAGACACATTTCACAAAATCAGCAATTTGCAACTGCAATACAGTTTCAAGCAATAAAGACAAATCAATGCAACTTTAACTCTGCATTTTCAGGCAAACTCAAACCGAGCGCAGGAGGATCTGGAGTCAGAGTTTAGTTCTCTGCATGCTGTGCTGGAAGAATTGAAAGAGGGCATGGTGACACGCATCAAGCAGGAAAGAGCCAGCCGCACATATGAGCTACAGGTGAGAGCGCTGGCTGAGCTCAGCTCCCTGAAATGATCCCTAGACAAAATACAGATTAACAAATTCAACCTAAGTTTATTCAAATGTTTTATATTTTCTAGTCTGAGTGATCAGATATAATCAGTAAAAGGCAGAGTGAGATGGCTCTGTAACTTGTGTATGACTTAGATGTGTCATGTTAAGAGAAGGATAATAAGAAATCCTTGAGGATTACAGTGTCTGTGACTCTGTGTGTGTGCGTATAATCCATCCTTGTGTACGTGTACATCTGAAACAAAGCATTTTACGACACACATTCTTCACCATTAAACGTAGCAAATAAATAAAGAGTGCAATGACAGAGGTCAAAGTACATTTTACCTACTGAAGAATTCTAATCAGTATTTTGTCATATATGAATCCCTATGATCAAGACAATAACGTTTTGTTTTTTTTTGTTGTTGTTTTTTTTGAATACCACTGTTCAAAAGTTTGGGGTCTGTACGATTTTTTCACTTACACTCACGAAGGCATTTATTTGATCAAAAATAAAGTAAAATAACAATATTGTAAAATATTCTTACAATTTAAAATAACTGTTTAAATTTGTAATATATTTCAAAATGCCATTTTTGTCTAAATGACAAATGCTTGAACAGGTAGCAAACAAACTGGAGCAAAGTAGCAATGTAGAAAAGCATTCAAATCAAGTGCAAATAAGGTTAAGCCTCCACTTCCAAGAATAACAGCAGTATGCAAAATACAAGAACGCTACAGCAATTTAGCATACTGCTAGAGATAAATCAGTTTGATAAGACCAAAAGCTTATCTGGTCTCTAAAGTTGCGTGGAGTTGTGTAAATCATTCTGGATTATGTATTTGTCCAGTGATATTCTGATTTCTCTGATTGTTTTTTCAGAGCCAGCTGAGCGCATGCACCAAAGCCCTAGAGAGCTCAGAGGAGCTGCTGGAATTAGCCAATCAGACGCTCTGCTCATCCGGGAATGACAGCTTCACTCGGGTAACGCCCACTTGGAATGTTTACACCTTTACAACTCATCTATTTTATGGTGTTTCAATCCATTGTCTTTTTTTGATATATATTTTAATATAGTTATATTTACACAACTGCTCTTAGGACTTACAGTATGTCCTCAAATATTTACATTGTCAGAGCATTTAGAACGATTATTTGATTGTGTGTTTACAACCGTTTGACACTTGTGTTGCTTTTTCTAACAAAGTGGCAAATTGTATCAGATGCTGCTGGCTTTTCTTGCTAACACGTGCTCGTATGACTGATGCATTGTGTGTTGTTGAGACTCAATGAGACTCAGTTCTCTTGCTCCCTATCTCTCTCTGTCCCTTTCTTTTTTCTCTTTCCTCTCTGCTGCAGGCGGCCAAAGACATAAAGGATAGGTACTGTACAACTGTCCATACTTGGATCTTTTATTGAGTTCAATGCCCACAGTCTAGCACATCTTCAAACAAATATCTTCATGTTCACTCATTTTATTATTAACTCATTTTCATATAAATAGATTTAGCAAATTATAGTCATTTTTATTAGTTCTCATTTCGTCTGTCTCCCAGGGTGTGTGCCTGTGTATATGCATGCCATGGAGTGATTTATTGTGCCCTCATTGACATTTCCTTCATGAAATTCCCTTGTTCCTGTTCTCAGTCTGTCAGGAGTTTGTTTTATTGTCCTTGTAGACTGACTCTAAGTGTTTATTGTGTGTCTGCAGTGTGACTATGGCTCCAGCGTTTCGGCTGTCCCTGAAAGCAAAGGCCAGCGACAGTATGAATCACATGATGGTGGACTTCACTCAGGAAAGAAACATGCTAAAGGCCATCACATTTCTTCCAGGTCAGTGTAGTATAAATGAGAAAATGTCATAAACAATTTAAGAAAAGGCTAGTCGACACACCTAGATTTCAGCCTACTTTCGCTTGTAAACAGTTTTATTAGCAGGATTGCAGGACAAAACCAGCCCAAAGGCCAATCAAAAATAGCCAAAAACTAGCCCTATGACCCTATCCAAAGATGAAAACTCAGTGTATGGTGCTCTCATACCCTTAATACATGTTTAACATGTGTAATACACAATTTCAACTTGAAAATCACTATATAGCCAAGTACAGTTTAGTAGTAAAACTGACTTTAAGAAACTCAAAGGCCCCACCCTCAAAAATATCATCATCTAGTAGAGTTTTATCATTGGTAGAATGTAAAATATTTAAAAACAAGCATTTCAGCCAAATACAATTTATGCATTATGTCAAACCTTAAACTTGTGGGGAAAAAATTAACCTGCAGAACTTTGGCAGGAAAACCATGAACTTGGCAACCCTGTGTCAATATATCTGGTGTAATGTCAAGAATATGACAAGAATAAGATATATATTGAAAATGTTAGGCTTTGGCTAGTACCTCTGAACAAAAGACTCCAGGGTCAGATATCTCTGTTCCTCTCAATTTAGTGCCTGCCACACCAGAAATTCTCGTGGCAGAATGCCAGGTGTTTGATAACACAGTCACAGTGGTGTGGACCTTACCTGAAGCTGACTCCAAAATCGACCACTACATCCTGGAGTATCGGAGAACCAATCATGAAGGTCCCCCTCGGGCTCGAGAAGACTATCCCTGGATGGTGATGGAAGGGATAAAAGAAACTGAGTACACACTCACAGGTAAGTGCTGATGTTTGTTTTGGATGTGATCTTTTCTTGAGCAGATTTTGATGAAGACAGTGATGTCATTTGTTTTTCAGGCCTTCGTTTTGACACGCGTTACATGACCTTTAGAGTGAAGGCGTGCAATAAAGCTGTGGCGGGTGAATTCTCAGAGCCAGTTTCTCTGGAAACACATGGTAAGCTGCACTTACACACATACACACTAATGAGGTAATGAGGCATGAAGTTTCTTCTCCTCACAGAAAAGAGTCTTACAGTGGTTACAAAGCACTACCCCTACTAAAACAGTTTGTCAAAGACTGATTTAAAGACCACAAATGTAGAACGTCTGCCTCTTTGTGAAATAAAATTTAGGGCTGTCAATTTAACGTTACTTTAGTGTAATTAAGTTTACAATAACAATAATGATATATGGAAGTAATTATGCCCCCTATACACGAATGCCTGTTCAGTGCATTATAGACCATTTTGCAAGATGTAAACAACGCTGGTCCAGAAGCACTTCCTGTTTCAGTTTTTTAACACTACATAAAAGCTGGGATAAAATACAACCGACAGAACATATAAAACTGAATCAAAAAGTTAAAAATCTTTAAGATGTTTTCTTTACCTGTGAAATAAAGAAAACAGTTACAAACTGAAACAGGAAGTGTTTCTGGACCAGTGTTGTTTACATCTTGCAAAATGGTCTATAATGTATTTTCTGAAATTGTATGTATGAGAATGTTAATTAATTGGTATATAATGTAATTAGAATTTTAATTATATAATTTTTGCACTGTTGCCCCTAACCTCTTACCTTTATTGCTTCTTGTTTGCTTCCAGCATTCGTCTTTAAACTTGACGCAGGTTCATCCCATCAGAACCTGAAGGTGGAGGACCTCAGCGTGGAATGGGACAGCAGTGGTGGGAAGGTCCAGGACATCCGTAAAGAAAAGAACCGGACCAACTCTCCCATGCATTCTCCTGCAAGGTCAGATTCACACCTACATATCTTCTCACAGTTAAAATGTGCTGCACATTGAGGGCAGTTCCACTGAACAGCTGTTGCCATTAAATGCATTTGTTTGGTTATTGCTTCTCATGACTTGTATAGTCAGAAAACAAGCTGTCATTTGCTGAAATGTTTGTATGCCACCCTTTGCCCAGCCATAAGCCAGTTAAACTGTCATGCCTGTCCCATCTCATAATTCGTCTTCTCCCTCAGGACAGCCATGATGTCCCCCAAAAGAGCTCCATCTGCTAGAGTGGGCCGAGACCGCTTCACAGCAGAGTCTTACACTGTTCTGGGTGAGTCAGCACAAACATAGTACACAGAAGAACTACAAGACATTGAAGAACTCTCGACTCTGAGTGTATATTCAAAAACTCCCCAATTTCTTCTCCAATGTTCAGGAGACACCATGATCGATGCCGGGCAGCATTACTGGGAGGTACGGTTTGATAAGGAGAGTAAGGCGTTTGCAGTTGGGATCGCTTTGCGGTCTCTAGGTCGCTTTGATCAGCTGGGGAAGAGTAATGCCTCCTGGTGCATCCACCTGAACAACTGGCTTCAGCAGAGCTTCACAGCCAAGCACAACAATAAAGCCAGAACACTGGACTGCCCCATTCCGGACCGTATCGGCATTTACTGCAACTACGAAGAGGGTGAGTTAAGCTACAAATATGACATTGAGGGATAGTGTCACAGTTTGATGAGTGTTGGAAGCGGGACTTTTATTTTGACAGCGCCAGGACTTTTATATAAATTTGTGTAGACAGGAGTGCTATCACTGGACGTGCACTAGCGACAAACTTTAAATCCCTGATTTCAAACTATGTTGGCACTATATCATTTGGTCACTATGCCAATATTAATGTTCTAATCTATAGTGTATGTAAATTAGCATTACCTGGTCTTCATTTGAGAAAATATGACTCCCAGACAGATTTAATAGATTACTGAGTGCACTCTTGGCTACAGTATTTACTTTTTTTTTTTGTCTAAATTTCTTTATTTGTGAAAAATACACAAATGTGATTACAGAATCAATAAGTTTTCATATAAAGTATAAATCTGTTTATTTTTTATATTATTTCATTTTTAAATTGGTTCTTCCTAATTTATTTAATAATATGTCAAAACATTTGTTTTTTGTTATTTTCTATCTTTAAATTACAGCTAATATACATTTATCAATTATCACATTACGTAATTTATATCTTCCATTGGTCATCGCTCTTTGAGTTATTGGAATTAACCATTCAGTCGACCACTAATTAGTAACTACTAACTAGTTTGTTCTTGTTTTACCTCACCTATTTCAGGCACATTGTCTTTTTACAACTCCAGAACCAAAACTCTCCTTCATACCTTCAGAACCAAGTTCCAGCAGCCTGTAATACCAGCCTTTATGGTAAGATACAATATACTGTGGCTCATTTTGTATTTTACAAACAAATCACTCATAAATTAGGGATATTTTGAACACAGTCTTGTCAGCTACTCAGACTGTATGAGCCTTGTATAATTAAGCCAATCAGATGTGTTTCAGAGTCCTTTACGTAAGATGCATTCTTGCATTCAACACATCTTGACTGAGCGGAACGGAACAGAAAGAAGAGGTCTATTTTTAACTTGACACTTCATCATAAAAATGCCAGGTCATGATACAAGATGCGCAGAAAAAAATACAAGTCATAACACGTTTGACTGCATATGTATGGTTGCAAGAGCATTGCTTTATGCAGTGATTTTATAGTGCCACAATTATGCTATTTTAAAGGTTACGTCTGCCATAGGTTTACATGCATCCAAAGTCAAAAGACACTTACATTTTCTCAAAATATACATTGCAGCATCACCTCTTTTCTCACAGTGTCTGAAACATAGACTGTAAAAAAAATAAAGGATTCTGCAAGGATGTCAAGATGGCCGAGTCTGTCGTGATTGGTCTACTGCTTGCAGCACATGTCGTAAATGAAACACCCGTCACCATTATCTGAATTTAAGCTCAGGAAGACTCCTCAGCACTTGTATACACAGTGATACGATTTTTTGCGACTACAAAAACACATCAGCCTCATGCTCTCTTTTACCCCCTACAGGTGTGGAATGGGAGTTTCTCAGTGCAGACGGGCCTTCAGGTACCCAGTATCGTGTTGAGCGGTCAGAAGAGAAACAGCAATACTAGCAGCTCTAATGCCAGCCTTACCTAGATCATACTTCATTGATAAACATCTAGAACTGCTACATGTATGCACAGGGTTGGAGAACACCTGGCTAACCCTGACACAACACTGGCGCAACAAGCCTGGAGGCTCTTCCTATCATCACTATGTCATGCCAGCCCAGGGGGAGAGCTGCTCTAGTTTGCCTTCCTCATTCCTTTTAGCTCACTGGTCTGGATTCTGTGCCTTTCAGTGTCCTGAATTAAGACATGATGGGGTATTACTCTTGTTCAACACTCAATGAGCTTTCATGTGTATATCACTAGGGCCAAACGTTGTATTGATGTTAGCATCCAAACCACAGTATTTGAACCACATTTGAACAGTTATTTCAATGCAACAGCAGCATGTCTGAAATCTCAGATGAAACTGTATTATATTCACACACTGAATGTCTTAAATGATATGCCTCGAATTCTGCTACAGTAGCTGCTTCCGTAAACAAACCTTTTTAAACTTACACTTAGTATCAGAGTAGCACAATAATCTTAAGCTAAATCGTCAAATGCCTTTTATAGAATGTATTAATTCAGCAGTTCCAGCATCTGAGGGAGGAGGCAGGTTTAACTAACCATTTGTGTCTATGTTAATGATCTGTCACCCGAAAAAGGTACATTTTCAGTGTTCTTGATGCAAATATTTACCAGAATTTACTTTTCCGTATGCCTGCTGCAATTACATATTACAGAGACTGATTTTTTTTTTTTGCCATATTGCGGTCCTCTTAAAAGGGATAGTTCACCCAAAAATAAAAATTCCATCATTTACTCATCCTTAAGTTGTTCCAAACCTATATGACTTTGTTTTGATCGTAAAGTCAAGTCAATATTCCCCTTAAAGGTGCAGTAAGCAATTTCAACCTAAACAAACACACCCTTCCCTTCATTGCTCCGCCCCTAAAATGCAGGAACTCTTTATCATAGCTGAAACGAAACAAATGTATGCTTAGTGAAAAATAAAACAAGGTTGATGAATGAGCGACAAGGAAGAACAAAGAATTAACATGCAGCACACAAGAGTATATACAAGCAAGAGATCGTTGTTAAGGTCCTTGCATAATGAACCCGAAATTTTCATGTTTTTTCATATTTATCATCCTAAAAATTGGTCACGCACAGAAACCTTGCACACTGAGAATGATGCGTATTAAACCGTTGCGAAAAAAAAAACAACAACAAAAGATTTTCACAAAAAAATACTTAATTGATTCAAGCAGTGAGGATGATTTTGTTGTCCTCTCTCTTCTTAAAATGAGAAAACGAAATTTTTGGGTCCATGCCCAAAGAGGAAGGAGAGTTCCACCTACTTATCAAGGACAAGGAGCTGCGGGATTGTCCCGAGCGATTCAGAGTTTACTTCAGGATGTCAGTGGCTCAGTTTAATGCTTTGCTAGCGATACTGGAGCTACATATTAAAAAGAAGACAATCAATTTCAGTGAACCAGTTGATCCTGTACGGTGGCTGTGAGTCTGAATTGTCAAAACGCCCGTCAAAATGCTTGCTACTGATGCGAAAAATGCAGAAAATGTAATCCGATCAGAATTTTTATTATTACGGATAAGTTTTGGAGGCAGTGTGTAAATGCAATTCACACATTGTGAAGTTGTATTTATTTTTTAACGTGGTTATTATATCTGGTTATTATATCTAACATTACAACAACAGTATATCTTGGTTTTGTGAAACACAGCAAACCCAATGTTACTCTCCCTCTTTCTCCTCCCCCATCGTGAGTGGACACGCCCCCTACTGCCGATTGGCTACTGTGTTTTGTGGCACTTACTGCACCTTTAAGTGAACGGTTAATTCAAACCACTGGAAATGGATCATTGGTACATTTAAACTCCGGAACAAAATTAGTCTAAATCATAATTTTCCAATTCATTGACAAGAGCCGATTCAAAATTATGATTCATTCATGAATTGGACATCGCTCCTACTTTAATTAATTCTCCAAAGAGATCTAGGATTTTTTTTTTAATTTAAAGACAAATTAAATTTCAGCCTGTTAATCACACAAAGCTATCAAATGAATATCCCACTCATGCTGGTTTCAAATGATTTGTAAAGCCAGAAAGCTCCATGTTGTAATTGCATTGAAAAGAGCAATCTCAAAAGAAAGCCAGTCATTCAGTTTTGACGCAACACGAGGGTGAGTAAGCTAATGTGATATAATCTGCAATGCTTTTAATCAAACATCTGAACATTTGAAACATTTCTGTCTAAAGAAAGTCAAATTGTAAAGTCACACTATAACACTATACCCGTTACGTCAATAAAACAAATGCCAAACATTCTTGTCTTGCACATCCGCACAAGGAAAAAAGTATGACACAGTGTACTTTTTTTTCCCGTGATCATTGTATTGTTCTAAAAATACATAGAATAAAACATGTCATGTTTTAACAGGAACAGAAAGACAACATTCGTTTGATCCGTTTCTCTATCTGGAGAAAGAAGACCCGCAACTTCCTCACATAGTAAAGTCAGAGTATAATTCATCATATCACCAACAACCCTTATTTTAGCAAGCCTGATATTTTTTTATATCAGAAGCAGAGAAACGAGACATAGACCAGCTAATACATAGGCATTCAAGACAAAACATTTATTTGTGACTTTTCACATGAATAATCAGTAACGCTTCCTTTTACAGTACAGTACTTGCGCGTACTTGCAGTGTACTTACATAGAAAGTAGGCAAGTACATGGGTTAGGGGTAGGTTCAGGGTTAGTACCAAGTTATTACCCAGTAATTACTATAATAGATACATAGTATGTACATGGGTAACAGGACTGTAAAAGAAAGCATTACTGACTAATCTCTGAAATTGTGATAAATCAACAGTATGTCAGAGAGATAAACTTGCAAATTGAGTTTGACCACACAAACAACAGTAGTGATTTACAATCAGCAGCTACAAAGTCACAATGTGGCACACAATGATCGATATGTTGGTAAAATAAATTATTGTAAAAGAACTAATAGATCTTAATGCTGAAAGAATCAATAAAGAAAACTTGATTCAAGGGCCTTTTTGTTGATCCAGCCAACTGGACAAATCTCACAGACACAGCGTTCAGGTGAGTAAAGTTCTATATCCATACATCTGCTGGCTTAATACTAAGGAATTCATCCTCGTTCAACAATGAAACCATTACTATTATCTTCATCATTATCTCTCTTATTGAGATTAAAATTATTCCTGGAGACCTCGTCTCCTAAAAGCATCCTGGAGCTCATCTGTTAAAAACAAAACCATAGTAAAAAAAAAAAAAAACACAAATATTAGATGCAGGAAATGTTGCTTTGATTTAAAAGTAAAATGTTTAGAGTGAAACAAGGGCTAAAAAGATGTGTTCTTACTTAAGTCAACACTAAGCTCACGCCTGGAGAGTTTCTCAGGCAAGCCTGACATACTGTTGCTTCGGGAAGGTGTTTTACCGTAGCCAGGAGGTACCAAAGCTTTTCTTTGACCATCTACATCAAAGCAGAACACATTATAATGGTTTTCTTTGAGATCATTGGTAACAAAATCCAAAGACCCAGCATAACACTGGGACTGTGATGACAGCGCTGAGATGTTAATTTGGACCAAATGCCTCGTATTTGCCGCGTCAAACTTGCTCTGACAAAATGTAAAAGGCAAAATCTATCCCTTCATGGTCTCTGATGAAAAAATATCACTATATCAGGCTGGACAACCCATTTCTCAAAAATAATTAATATTGAACACATCTGAATAAGCATTTAGGTCTACGAGCATCGAAATCTGATGCAGCAAACACCGCCCTGCTAAAACAATCATCAGAATGATATCTGGAAGTCTCTATTATGCCCGCCAATGTAGCATTTTATAAGTAATATAGTGAAATATTATTACAATTTAACATTTCTATTTTATATTTTAAAATGTAATTTATTCTTGTGATTTGGTGCTCAAGAAATGTATCGATAATGAGAATTTGTTTCCCATTATTTTTGTGGAGATTTTTTTTTTTTATTCTTTGATGAACAAAAAGTTCTAAAAAACACAGCATTTATGTAATATATATATATATTTTTATAACAAAAAAAAAAACCCTTTACTATCACTTTTGCTCAATTGAATGCATCCTTGCTGAATAAAAGGATTGACTTTTATTAAAAACATCTTACTAACCCTAGACATTTAAAATGACATTATATATTGCATAACAAAAAGGCAACTATTAAGAAGAAAGAGGAAATGCTGGAATAGAAATTTGGAATGGTTATTCGAATCGTCTCACCTGGAGGATGTGGTAGGGGAAGACTTCTCATACATCTGTCCTGAGCCTCCTCATACTCTCCAATATCTGAAAAAAACATACTCAACAGGATCAACAACATGCTTAAAAACACAATTTGAAACAGTGAGTTTAAGTAAATCAACTGCAAAACACTGAAGGAAGCTAAAAAACAGCAAAACACTTGTAGAATGACTCACCTGAACAATTGAGGTATTCGTTTTCATGCATGTATGATTCTGAATTGGGACTGAGATTCCTTGTGCCTAAACATACATATCAAGATGTTTTTCTTTTTCTATTACATTTCATGTTTTCTTAAAAAAGAGCTGTCACTTGAAGTTAGACATCCATTAAACCCAATACAATATGTTTTACAATTGCTATGTGTGCTTTAAGATGATGCCAAAGATGTATCACCTGGTTTCGGGGGAGGCAGCGGAGGAGTAGGCGAAGGGGCATTTCTGAGACAATGTTCACTTATCTCACCATTTTCTTCATTGGGCTTAACAATTACTGAGGGAGAAAAAAAACAAAAAAAACAAGAATAGTACAGATCAAGCCTATTGAATTAGCTTATGTGAGGTTGCCAGTTGTTTCTCCCAGACTGCTTTCTTTGTGGTAAAGTAATATATTACTATTTGCTGTAAAACTCAGTTGCCTGCCCTGCTCTGTGGAGAATGTTTCTCAATTGTCAATCAATACAAACAATGCTAGCTGTCATTAAGTCAGAAACAGAGAGGAGGACCACCAGTTTTAACTAGAACAGAATGGTATGAATGGAATGATTAGTTCACATTACAGAACAAACTAGTTTTCAACCAGACGATTTTCAGAGTTTCGGCTCGGGCATAAGTGTGATTCACTGTGTTATGGACCAAAACATTGCCATGCATCAACGGTACTAGGTTTAGCCTTGTTCTCCTGAGTGTTTTTTCATGAAAAAAAAGAAGTCTTAAAACACTTTTGCTTTATGTAAGGAAGATATACGTTTAGTCTAAACATGGCTAGACAAATAAAACAAAACCGAAAAGAACGAGCAAAAAAGCAAACATTTAGAAACTGCAAAAGAACAAATAAATCTGTAATTCTAGTGCACAATATATATATTGTCCAATCCATTTTTGGATTTTCAAACAGCAATCTGACCTGAATCTGTAGTTCAATGAATATACTCGATTTTTTTTTGTTAGCCAACTGGAAACCCATCGTCTACACACCATTCTTATAATAATTCACCTCTCACTTTACATCTGATTTTAGGGATATGTTATGGGTAGGGATAGGGTTGGGACTGTTTATGGACAGGAATGTTTTGCCAATGTCTTGGCAAAATCATGCCAGACCGGAAACCCATGTCTAATAGTTTTATACTAAAAGTAAAACTTTTTCAAAAAGAGCACCAGTGGAATAGTTCATCTCAGTCAATCATTCTTTAAGCGCCTTCCACAAATTTCTATGACATGGTGATGTATTAAGTCTGATTTGTCAACTTCTGAACATGTCATTCATCTTTCATTGTGTTGTAAACATTTTCTAGATTGATGATTCATACCAACAAGTATTTCAGTCTGGCTGACAAACCAGATTTTTCTGAAATATTTTCCAAAAAACACAAATAGTATCTTACCGAAATTTTTCTCATAGTGTTCCTCTATCACAAGAGGCACCAAAACCCCATCGGCCTTATCCACCACGTAGGTGACGACATCATGCAGGGTGGCACAGGTGATCTGTGTGTTTGTGAACAAAATCACATTGTCTGACACATCAGTGCACATTTTCTTTCTTCAGATCAAAAACTTAAAATGAACAAGAAGGAAATATTCTAGGGTGTTTTCCAGGAAGAAAAAAAAAAGATATATTTTTGAGACTAGGGCTGCTCACAACACAAATTATCTAACATATCTAAAGCTCTGTGGTAAATGCCAAGAAGTGTTTAATGTATAACACCTCAGCTGTACTGATCTCCCAACACTGACCAATAAAACATTTTCTTATCAGAACTTCCTCTTTCTTTTCAAAGCAATCACACCTTAAAGGGTTAGTTCACCCAAAAATGAAAATTAAGTCATTAATTACTCACCCCCATGCTGTACCAACCCCGTAAGACCTTCGTTCGTCTTCGGAACACAAATGAAGATATTTTTGATTAAATTTGAGAGCTGTATAACTACCACATTGGCTCCTAAAGGACTGCCTCTTGACGGCCCAGAAAGTCAATGAAGAAAATGTTTAAATATCCCAAGTGACTACCGTGGCTCAACTATATGTTTATCAAGCGACGCGAATACTTTTTGTGCGAAAAAACAAACAAAAATAACGAGTTTATTCGACTATTTCTTTTCTCCCTTGTAGGCCAGAACGAGACTTCCTTAGATTTCCACGACGCATGCGCGAGATTTGCGATCTGCTCACATCAGCTTACACCACTTCAGATCGCAATTCTCGCGCATGCGTCGTGGAAATCTAAGGAAGTCTCGTTCTGGCCTACAAGGAAGAAAAGAAATAGTCGAATAAACTCGTTATTTTTGTTTGTTTTTTCGCACAAAAAGTATTCGCGTCGCTTGATAAACATATAGTTGAGCCACGGTAGTCACTTGGGATATTTAAACATTTTCTTCATTGACTTTCTGGGCCGTCAAGAGGCAGTCCTTTAGGAGCCAATGTGGTAGTTATACAGCTCTCAAATTTAATCAAAAATATCTTTATTTGTGTTCCGAAGACGAACGAAGGTCTTACGGGGTTGGTACAGCATGGGGGTGAGTAATTAATGACTTAATTTTCATTTTTGGGTGAACTAACCCTTTAAGCCTCTCGCAAGAGCTCGTAGTTCACACAAAATTACAAGTTTGCAGATGGTTAAACGAATCCTTAGATATTCTGGAGAGTGTTCCTATTAGACTCAAGCTTTTATTGTGCATTTTGTGAACACAATCTTTTATTGATCACAGGCTTTTAATCTAAAGCGATTTGAAAATGAAAGAACAAAGTATTACTTACAGGAGTCTCAAGGGCAATGATGAATCCTCCTTCAGGCCTCCGAGACACGCGGTAATGTTTGAATACTGGTCTGTTGGGCGCAAGAGTCGACTCTTTAGAATATTCATTCTTAAAGAAGTAGTTCACTTTAAAAAAAACTTTTGCTGATAATTTACTCACCCCGATATCATCCAAGATATCAATGTCATTCTTTCTTCAGTCGAAAAGAAATTAAGGTTTTTGATGAAAACATTCCAGGACTTTTCTCCATATAATGGACTTTAATGGGAACCAAACGGTTCAAGGTCCAAAAGACAGTTTCAGTGCAAACTGTTCAAAGGGCTTTAAATGATTCCAATTGATGAATAAGGGTCTTATCAAGCGAAACGATCGCTCATTTAAAAAAATAAATAACAAAGTTTAAGTTTTATAAGCTCAAATGGTCGCCTTGGTCTGTTCTGTGTTCGAACTCTCCAGTTCGAACTTGTTTATCAAAATGAAAAAATCTTTTTTCGTGTCATTTAGTTCATTCAACAAACGAAATGACTCGGAAAAAGATTTGTTCATTTTTGCACTGAAACTGTCTTTTGGACCATGAACCGATTGGTGCCCAGTGAAGTGCATTATATGGAGAAAAATGCTGGAATGTTTATCAAAAACCTCATCTTGGATGACATGGGGGTGAGTAAATTATCAGCACAAGTTTTTTTTTAAAGTGAACTACTCCTTTAACTGACACAGCTATATTCATTTTTATTCAAGCAGATCTTCCCAGAACATTCCGACTATTGTGTAACACATTTTATTCATCAGATCAAAGTGCAAGGTACAACACTTTTGAATCAGACTGAGGAAGATAAAGATAACAATAAATGAAGGAAATAAAGCAATCTCTGATAATGCATTTACAAGCTGTCTGTCCAGGAAATAGACTCAACATGGTTCTGTACTGAGTACAGATGAGGGTGTGTGTTTTACTTGTTAATATCTTGGCGAGTGGTGAGAGCAAAAGACATCCCATCTTGACCCGGCCGCAGCAGTAGGTTTCCCTGTGCAGAGTTCCTTTCCAATAAGATTTCAGCTTCGACACGAGTGACATTATGATAACAGCTGCACAAAGCATCATTGTAATATTAAATAACATGCATGACTATGTTAATTCATTCAGTCACTATGTTCACAAGCACACCAGAAATTGCAAGAAAAGTTCTCTTTAAAAATGGCATAAAACAGAAGTTGCGATCATCTTTTTTCCCTATTGAATTAAAGATTATGTGAATTTAAACAAAAGATGTGCACAGATAAATCATTTATAACAAATACTGACGTATTTCATTAAAAAATTTCATTTCATGGTTATTTTAAGACACGAAAGCGTGTACACGCAATTTTTCACATGTACACGCAAGCCCTCCTACATGGCGTGCCACCAGTAAGCTGTTTTCTGTTACTTTAGTAGCACAGTCTGTGTAAAAATGCGTTTAACATGACCATAATACAAGCCACGTTTTGCAACCCAGGTGCATTTTTAACCGCTTTCTCTAAAGCCAAGGTCACACTAGACTTTGAACATGCACAATTTCGTTGAACACTGCAACATAGGTAATATGACTTCAAGCTGGAATGTCTAAAAAATAAATTCAACACATTCATAAAAATAAACCCACGAAGTAAAAATATAACGTCATACCACGCAAATGTGTATGAATGGAAGTCAATGGAACAAAAAGTAGAGTGTGCCAACCCTTTGAATGGCAAAAGGAAATGGAAAATGTTACATTTTCAAATGAATGTAAATGTGGTCACTTACAGAACAATACATTATTAAAAGTGAAGTGTGTAATTTCCTGTGAGCGTTTTTCCTACTTGTGTTTCCCCAAACACTCTCCCCATCTTAACAGTTAGCAGTTAACTGGTTGTGCTAACACTGTGTTGGGTTGGTCAACCAATGGTGTGAGTTTGATGCCTCTGCTTATTAAGCTGGGACAGGAGAAAGTATACTATACAAAAGATATTACACACATCACCTTTAATCTTTAACATTACATTAACGCTAATAAAGCAAGTGGTTTTAACTTACGAAGGCATGTCTGGCACTACGTGAACATATGGGTCAGAGTCCTGGGATGGTGGTGGCGCTGAAAGAAGCCGCTGCCTCTTTGTCTCTTTGTCAATTATTTCTTTCATCATGTGAATCTGACCAGGCAGAAGGTTCAGAGCTGGCACAGACAGCTGAAGGACAGAAACAGCGAGAATTGTTGTTCGGTATTTATCTGACTGTTTATGGGTACATTTCATTCAGCTCCCTATTGTGAATCAGTTTATCGCGTACATGAATCCAGTAAGGGTAAGGACCCTGACTCACTACACATTGGTACACTGATCGCTCTATATTCCTAAGTCTACTGCCATTTATGAACAACAGCAGCAGATATTTCTTTCTGACATGCTTCTGTAATTTTAAAGTAGCCTACATTACGATAAATACTTTGTTACATATCCCTGCAACATGTAAGCCGTAAATGAATTGTGAATTTTAGCTAGAATGGGATTCCAAATTTAAAAATATGTTTAAGATCTGCTGAAAGACTAAGGTGAGGTACATTTAGCATTTAAGGTTAAGATGATGATATCAGATGAATGATTCTGTTAAGCAAAGTTCATAGCAGGAGGTTTCTGCCAGTCCTGTTCTCTTATTTTAAATCAAATGAGCCAGATAGCGGAAACTCTCACCTTTTGTCTTTAATGGCTCTTGAAACCCCGATCCCATTCTTTGAATATTATGCTGATTGGATTAGGAGGACTGGTGAAACTCTAGAGTCTGAGGTGGGTTGCTATAACTGTATACTTAATTTGCATACTTTGGTTCAGCTCCATTTCTAAGAACTGCCTCTAAAATTTATGTAAACTACAATGTGCACTGCCTTAGTTGGACTTGATGACTTTAGAAACAAAACAGCACATTCTCAATAAAGAATCCAGTTGAAGATAAATCCAAGTCTCCTGGGTTTCCTACACTAGATTATGTTCATTACCTGATATAGCAATGTGTGTTCATGCATAATAACATTTTGTCTTTTAAAATATCTTTCGCATGCCATGACGCGAGTTGGGTCAGAATTTCTGTGAGCATCGATGCTTCCCTGGGTTTGCTTTGTGGAACTTTTTAGGGTGTGAACATTTCAGTGCACCTGAATGATTTTACGATTGAGACAGCCCTTAAAATGTCCGTGATCCTTGGTCCCTGATCAGTGCCCTGACAAACAAAGTCATATTGAGAGGTACTGACAGTTCATCACATAGATGAATGCAAGTGATAAACTCTCTGGTTTGGCAAACCTTAATCTTGGAGATCAAGAAAAAAGGGATAAGTTGAGAAGAAATCACCACCCAATTATTGGCTTTGTAGGTGAATAAAACAAAGCTATTACATAAGTTCCCTTTTGCAAAGTGGGTTTATCTGGCAAACAGACCTCCATGAAAGTAAAAAATATATTAATAGTATTAAAACTCATAAAACTTTCTATTATATGATGTGGTCTGAGTTTTTTTAGACACCATTGTATACTAAAGATTCTTTTATTTTTCAAAAGCACAACTCACCCTAGAAACTGAGAGCATGTAGCCTTTCCACAGTTCTCGCGCCTCAAGGCTGGGTGCCTGAGAAAACAAAGAAAAAGGAGGAAACTGCATGACATTGGGCATGTATAAATGGATCTAAATAACTCAAGGTTAACCAGCTGTAAGTATAATGCAGTAAAATCAAAGGAAGATAAGTTTTGTCGATATGTGCAGTGTGCCATCACTTAAATGACATGATGAAAAAGGAAAATGGTGTCATCTTGACAATTATCAATCACCTACAATCATCTTGATGTCTTCCTTTTTCATGTGCAGAGTGAATCCAGCGGCGTTCAGGTTTCGGTCATGACAGCAGTCATCTGACACGGAGTTGAGATCAGAGAGCTCCAGCTTCTCTATATACTGCATTCACAAGCACAAGCAAAACGTTTATGCACAAATAATCTATTCTCTATGCAAACAAACAGCCTTCAGGACTGCAAACTTGCATTTGAATAGATTTATGCAAATATACATATGTTACAAAATGTCACATCTCAAAATGATTTTCTAGTAGTCAAAAAGCAAACTTAAAAGGCAGATTGTAAAAACACTTACCACACTGTCTTTGGTATTATTGTAGAAAAAGAGTGCATTTCCACACAAGCTGGTCCAGAGTTTGCGACCCATCTATGAAAATAAAAGCAAGTATTTACTGAAAATAAATAGTTTCTAAATATTCAAACAATTTTTACTGAAATAACTACTGAACAATCATAAATATTTCTTATTAATTTGACAACAAAACGTTTTTATGTATTTATAGGTTTAAATTAGATTGTGAATCCCAGATTTTCAATGAGGTCTCAAATTGTGTTTACATAGCGTTTTAATAAACTGAATATATTTGGAATTATTGACAATGGTTTATGTTGATTATTATTTTAGTTAAAGTTGACAAATTATCAAGAGTTTATTCATTAAATACATACTTGTGGAAAGACTGAATTGGTTTGTACAAATGAAAGGAATGTAGAAAACAACAGAACTTTATTTAGTTCAGAAAGAACACTACAGAAACAAGACTTGACCCAAGGCGAGCTTATATTTTATTTGAACCGGTTCCAGTCTTTATATATCTTCTTTTATAATCCCAAACTATCAAGAATGTCTGTCATCAAAGTGAACTTCATAATGCAAAACATTTAGGTCTGTGGTGACCTTTAATAAATCATTAACTAAAAGAAGACTCATCTTTTCAAATGTGATGAGCTCTATCAGCAGGATATAAGCTAAGATCCAATTTGTAAAAAAAAATAATAATAATCTCACAAAAACAAACAAAAAAGCCTTTACTAAAACCATCTTTACAATGCAAATCCTTTATCAGTAGTGTTTGATCTGCATGCAAGCATGCCACCAGACCAGTTTTTGTTGACATTTCCACATTTGTAGGAAAACAGTTCCCATGCTGCAACAGACACTTGTGTGACGCTATTTTGAGGACCAGATAAAACAACTTCTCCTCTCTTGATGATTACTGGTCACTTTATATTAGATGTCTTTACTATTAACTTTTTTTTTATGGTGTAATGTAATGTAAATACATTGTAATGAATTTCAAAATAAGCAGTTAAAGACATCAAACATATGTTCTAGTTTAGTCATGAACAAATTTAAATAACGCTTTAGAGCAGGATGAACCTTTTACAGAAAAACTGAGCGACAAGCTGATTAAAGATTTACACTAAAACTACAAATGTTTGACAATAAAAGACAGTAACCAATGGTCATGATAAGAAGATGGTCCACAAGGTTGTTAGACTAAATGTTAGACTGCCTCACAAATGAATTTGGTTGAATAGCTCTCAGCTATGAAAATATGCACAATTAGATAATACCAATTTAGGTCAAGCAATTTTTAAGAAATTCTTAATTTTGTTCACTCTGTGGTGTAAAATCATTAGCAATTAAAACAAAAACACTTAGGCAAAACATGGTCAAGTCAAAGTGTCTGAATAATTTTTGGTCCCATATTTTTTAATCATTTTTACTGGTATGAAGAATTTCACTGTATGAGGAATTTTTGGGGAATAGTATGTCACAGATTACTTTATTTTGCTATCCTCACTTACATAAATGAACTATAGTGTTCTGCACCCACTAGTATAAATATAACTGGTTGTTTTTCATAATTTTTTTGGTTTGACGGGGGTATATATAATATATAACCACATGCGCATGTATAAGCCTTTTACACTCACCTTATCTTTGATGGTTTTCTTTTCCAGAAAGCCTTCGTAATAACATGTTGGCAGCTGAGATCTCACTCGTCTATGGCGATTTGCTGATGCCATAACTTCACAAGTTACTCTCCCGCCAACAACAAACTTCTTATAAAACAATTCAGGTGTTTGATAGAAGGCGCTTCACAGTCCACCTGAACGTTTAATGCCTTATTATACGGTAAAATAGCCTACATCATAGAGTTCAGTTGCTAAAGCTTCATAAAAAGTTAGAGACGAACAGAAACCCTGTGGACTGGAAGTAAAATATGACTATCTGAAGAGTTCTATGCTGTCATATCTCCCACCCCCTTTGAACCAGGTGAGTCAAGTTCGCTCGGGCACGAAAGTCCCGCCCATTGAGAACAACGTAAGGTCATCTTCAGACAAAACCATCACCCCAGGCAAGTAAACGAAACCTTACGAGGAAATAACCGAAATATAAATACTATGCAAAAAAGGTTTTATATTACTATTAAAAAAAAATCTTTGCCATGCCCACAGTGTCAATAGGTACATGTGTAATGTACGTAGAGTAGAGTGCAATTACCGTACGTTTCAAATAGAAAAACTCTTCGTTTCTAAGAGATTATGATTAGAGTTTTTAAAATTAATTTTACCTGTGGGTAATGTGTGCTTGTATCAGATGCAGTTTGAGGTCAGATTAAAAAATATCGTTGTCTTAAACACTTCAGGATTCGGTTGAAAACGTTTTCTATTTTTCATATGCACTGGAATAATACGGCGTTCTTTGGCGACATCTAGCGGTAAGAATATTTATCAGTGACATTACGTTTCATTCATTACCGTAAACCCTATATTATACACGCATATTGCCCAAACAAACCAGCTGTCCACGGCTGGGTCCCAGTCGACTGCTCATTTGACCGTGGTCCAGGGCCATTAGAAACTGTATCTAAACTGATATTACCACAAAATGGCAAACAATCGCCAATTTACTTGTAAGATTTCCGCGAATATGTCTTCCGTTGTAGCAGCTATGCAAACCACATCCGTTCGCCCGTGCTGGAGAGTCTACGACCACAAACACCGCTAATTTATAAAGGAGAGTAAATGACAAGGACGGCTAGGAAGGAGAAAGGGGAGGGGAATTGACATTAAAGCAACACTACACAAGGAAACCACACACTGCAGACACAGACACACACACAAGCCTTCATTTTATGTTTTTGAATAACAGCCTGGTGGCGAGTGTCCGTACAGAAGTGTTATATTAACACCGCCAAACTGAAGTGGCGGAAAGAAAGACGTCACATCAGTCTGTGGAGCAGTTTCAAAGCGTTTTCCGACGATTATCACGAAATGGGTGAGAATTAAAAAAAATAGTGATTTTTAATAAGCGGGTGAAATTAATAATTACTAGGCCGCGGGGTTGCGGAAAGGAGCGAGAACAAAACACGCGAAGGACGAACCGTTTCTCGACAAATTATCAGAGCGGTTTTGTTTTAATTTCTGGGGGAAAAAAGCTTATCAGATGGAGATGGCAGCGGACAGTCGCTGATTCCCTGATGTGAGATTCGCTGTCCTGACATTTTTTTTTGTCCCACAATAAAAAGCATTTTTTCCCCCTCCACATGAGAGTTCATAGTCCCAAGCAAATACTTTGTTCGAAGTACAGTCTAATTTTACAATGTACAAGTTTGTGAGATTATGTTTGAAAACTGTTTTAACTTGATCTGAGGACATTGTAATATAATTTAGTAAATAAAAATATAAATTTGCTTGTGAATTATCTTCTAATATCAGATATCAATTCCCTTTGCCAGGGTTTATATAATTCCAACCAATTAATAATGATGCTCGGCGTATTTCTGCCTGTATTAATTCCTTATTTCTGTCTGTTGTTTATCCTCAGGCTCAGAGCCACCCTCCTCTCCTCAGGTTGTCGAAGAAGGGGCAGATGAAGAGGATGAGGAGTTGAGTGGGGCTGAAGATGCTGACCTGAGGGCTTCCTCAGGGAGGGGTTCCCTCCTGACCAGGAGAGGCATCACACTAAGAGTCCTCTTAAAGGATGGTCTTGTGGAGCCTGGAGATGGCGTTCTGTCCATACACTACCTGGTACTGTCCAGAAACTTCATCATAAGGGCTAATACCACTTAAACCTTTTATCGTTAAAGATATAGTTCACCAATAAATGAAAACGGTTGCATTTATTCACCCTTCCAGACCTGTCAAAACATGGAAAAGTGTATAAAAAAAGTCTGTGGCATCTACAAGATTAAAAATAATCTAGCAGAATGTCCTAGTTAGCTCCTTTCTTTTATTCCATATTATGAAACTGAATGGTGAAAATAATGACAGAATTTTTTTTTTTTTTCCAGAATTTTTCATTTTTGAGTGAACTATCCCTTTAATACTTCTCTGGTCAGGTGCAATTACTCTGTCTATGTCTCCTTAGGGTAAAAAGTTTGTTGGGGATCTGTTGAATGATGGGAAGATCCGTTGGGTGGAGACCGGACAGATCTTTAACTCTCCAAGCGCCTGGGCAACACACTGCAAACGCCTGGTGAACCCGGCCAAGAAGTCTGGCTGCGGCTGGGCTTCGGTGCGGTATCGTGGACAGAAACTGGTCCAATACAAAACCACCTGGCTGCACAAATACCAACCCAGTGCCGACATGGTGAGCAATGGAGGGACATTTATTAAGAGCTTGTACCATGTAAACAATAGTAAACAAGAATTTAAAAAGGGATAAATGATGAACAATTACTGTGCAACCAGCGGTTCGTGTGTGATTTGATTTGTTTACCTCAGAGCTTGATAAGTGAAGGAGAGGATGATGAGATGGGAGATGATGACGAAGAGGAAGGGAAAACGGCCATGCCAGTAGAGGACAAGAATAAAAAGTCCAAACCTGAGCTGCACGGTATGATGTTATCTACCTAAACATTACATAGAAAAAACTTCACCCATCTGTTTAAAGTTACAGCTTAGTAAGCAGAAGTTATTTCATGTTCCCCCCAGACATTAGCCTGATGCAGAGGAGGGAAAGAGAGAGAGTTCCAATTAGGTATTGCACTCTTGGCACCAGAGATGCTACAAGGTAATTATTATATGATGAAATATATTTGAACCACATATTATGTCCTGAAGTATAACTGTTATATTCATTTATTGCTGTAAAAGAATGTAATATGACAATTTAATGATGACATTTACTGCATCTCAATTTACCTGCCCGAGGTCCCCACGCTTCCGGTTTGAGGTGGAAAAACACTGATGAAAGATCAAACTGTAGTGCATTATGGAAATTATGCTCTCTAAGAAACACTACCATTAAAAATTGTAGGGTCAATACGAATTTTTGTTGTTGAAAGAAATTAATTCAGCATTAAATTGCTCGGAAATGACAGACTTTTATATTTTAAATAAAACAATTAAATGAATGTTTTAATATGGAACTTTATATTTATGAGAGTTAGTTTCCACAAAAATATTAAGCAGCACAACCATTATCAACATTGATAATAATAAGAAATGTTTCATGAGCAGCAAATCCGCAAATTAGAATGATTTCTGAAGGATCATGTGACACTGAAGACTGATGAATGATGCTGAAAATTCAGCTTTTGCAATCACAGGAATAAATTATATTTCAAAAGAAAATATTTATATTAAATCGTAATAATATTCCACAATATTACATTTTTTACTATTTTTGATCAAATAAATGGAGCATAAGACACTTTCTTCAAAAACATTAAAAATACCTACTGACCCCAAACTTTTGACTGGCAGTATACCTGAATGTTCCTGTGTTTGTCTTCAAAGGGATCCACACACTCTTGTAGAGCTCTCCGCCTTTTCTGCGATCAACCGCTTCCAGCCTTTTAATGTAGCCGTTTCCAGCAATGTTCTGCTACTGATGGTATAAAGTGCTCATGGATTTTTGATTCCTGAAATCAAATCAATACTGATGGCATGAAAATAATTTTTAAACAGTTGAAGGCAATATTTAACACTTACCCACCTCTATTCTTAGGATTTCCACTGTCACCTGACCACAAGTGAGGTGGTGGGATATTTAGGGGGCCGATGGGATACTAACACACAATGTAAGTGTAAACATTTTTATAACTACTGTAATAGTAAATTGGAGATTAGAAACACTCAAAATTGACATTTCATCATCATCATCAGTGCTTACGGTCTTGCGGGCGTTCCCATGCCGTACACGTTTGGCTGATAAAGACGCTGCTCCAGCAGTCGAAGAAGAGGTTAGTCTGCAAAACTACTGTGATGGCTGTAAAAACAGAAATGTACCATAGTCTCCTGCAATTTACCTTTCGTTTTGTTTGAACTTTACAGATTTGTCAAAATCTCTTCATGCGCGGGCTGTCATTGGTGGGATGGTATCACAGTCACCCCCGAGGCCCCGCCCTTCCCTCTCTACAGGACATCGATTCGCAGATGGATCACCAGCTCCGCCTACAAGGCAGCAGTAACGGTTTCCAGCCCTGTCTGGGGATTATCTGTGGTGCGTGATGGCTTTAACAGACGATCACTATGCAACACAAACCGTCTTGTTAAATGATCTGTGATAAGTCTTTTCTTTCCTTTGTCTCATCACTCACAGGACCCTATTATCACGGCAACCAAGGCGTGGCCTCCACCATCACACCATTCTGGGTAGTTCCCCCTCCTGAGGTAACTGTTCTTAAACATTTGCTAATAATTGTTTGCTAAACTAGTAGTTTACTCGATTACACTTTATTTGGGAACACTTTATTTTAGTGTCTTTGTTAGATATGTATTCACCATAGTAATAACAGTACATTATGCATGATTACTGTACATGCAATTAACCCTCAACCAAAACCTAATCCTATCTTAACCCTATAGTAATTAAATATCGTTAATTATTATTACTCCGTGCTTTAATGTGTAATTGCACTGTAACACAGACACCTTAAAATAAAGTGTTACACTTATTACAGTGTAATTATACATTTAAGTACTGAGTAATAAAATGAACTACATGTACTTACTAAAGGGTTAAGATTAGAGTGAGGTTAAGGGTTAGTTGCATGTAATTATACACAATTTATAGTAATTACTATAGGAACTACATGTAGCGTAACAAGGACACTGTAAAGTGTTATTGCTCAATCTAATTTCCCCCTTCCATTTAGCAACGACCCAATGATTACGGCATCCCAGTGGCAGTAGAGGTCACATACGTGCAAGACAACTTCCTCACTACAGACGTGCTCAATGAGATGGTATGATTACAACTAGCATGTTATATTTAAGCATCAACATCCATCTTGGGAAAACAGGAATTTTATTTCCTTCTACAGTTCAGTATGCTTCAGAAGTAATCTTTTTGAAGCGAATCACTCACTGCTTGTCTTTTCCTGCAGTTCTAGATTAGATTAAACCAATGTCTAAACTCCATCCTGTAGAAAGTCTTTTGATAAGCTAAGATAAGCTATTCGTCTCTTATTTTTATATCTTTCTGTGTAGATGCTGTTGGTTGAGTTTTATCGGTCTGCTCCTGACCTGGTGCAGTTCAGTCAGATGTGGAGTCCTAATACCTCTATACTTGACAAAATCAAGGTCAGTCATAATTTCTCTCCCTTCTACATACACCAAACAAAACACAATCAATTATCAATTTCATGATTTACAATTACACCATTAAGATTATTAGGTGCTACTAGTGTCAGGATTGCAAATATAATTTAATTTCACATAGCTCAATATAATGCAATTTCACATAATTGGATGAGCCAGTGTCGGACTGGTCGGGATACTCAAAACAGTTAAGCTTTAAAAGCACCGAAATTAGACTGGTATGATTTCAGTCAGACTAAACGTTTTTTTCATGACACTTTAAACATAAATTATTGCTTTAATCTGACTGAAATAAAACTTTTAAAGTGCATGCACACAGACATAACAGTGTACACTTTTAAGAGAAATCAAACTATGAATGTTTCAAGTTGTCTTTGCATTTTATGCTAGAACGGAAGGCAATTTTAACATCCAAAATAGTACCTTTAAAACATTATAATTTGCATAATTCAGTGCCATTAACAATAATCTCACAGCAAAGCATGATTATATGTCTGACTAGCGATGTTTAAAGAAACGCTTGTTTTCTCATTCTCAGGCGTCTCTGTGTGGCCACGCACCCAAAGACCAGGCGTATGCACAGATCCTGGAGCACGTGTACAACCAACTGCGCAACACTCAGTGACCAGAGCGGTTTATGTCCGTGCATTTGTGTTAAGCTGTAGAACTGTTGACCTGGGACCTCTTGCCCTGTGCATTACCGTCTGTACTGTATATGAAATGCCTTCATGGAGGATATATCATATATGCTTCCGTCCAAACTGTTGCCTTTAGGACTATTAGGTCTGCATCACTGGCCGTGGTTTATGCGTTTCTGCCATATCTGTGCTGTGAAACTTGTCTTCCTGTGTGCTAGGAATGTCTGGTGGGTAGTTAGGAAAGAGCAAATGGTTAATTGAGTTCTTTCTCTCCCTTTCTTTTGACTAGTATTTATCTGTTTGTGTGGTTAGATTTGTGCCATGTTGACTACACAATATGGGAACAATGCCTTTTACCTGCTGAATACCTTAAAATATACACTGGAACAAATGAAATGTGCCGATTCCATTTCCTTCTGACATACGTCATGTTTTTCTTACCGTATAATTAAAGAAACGGTTCATATACAAGTGAAACAGATTAAGTACTTTCAATTGAATTTATTTACTTAAAGACGAGTGGACACAATAAGATACAAATATTTAGAGTTCGGAATACTTAAAAATAACAATATAATGGAGTTAAATCTGAGACGTACAAGAGGAGACTTTAAAACTAAAACATACATCAGCCTGCTATTAAGCTAACATGCAAAAATTATTAATAAAAAAGGTTGATGGTTTTGTATGTATATAAAAAAACAATATAATACTAAAAAGAGCAGGACCAGAATTATTATTTTTTTTTCATGAAATCATTCTGGTACCCTCATTCCATTAGACAGAAATAACCCACTTGCTGTTTTCTTAAACTTGTAGTGTTGCAAAGGCACATTTGTACTCATGCTTGTACATCTGGTCACAGCTCATGCCAAATACTGAAACCAACAAGCCCTTCGTAAATAATGAAAGAGGACAGACATAAAAACTACATATTAGATCTAAAATCATAATAATTAATATTTTTGTTTGGTGTTCTAGATTGATTCATGCCATCGAAAAGGCACTAAAGCCCTTTTTTTTCACATTGAAACGGTCGCTGTAGCCTGTCTGATTCAGCACATCTACAACAGTCTGTTACGGTGAGCAAAACAAACATGTAAACAGACACTGGGAGGAAAAGGTCACAGAGGTGCTCTGTGCAGACAGGACATGGAGTCGGGGTGGAGGGACAGATGTTGGTGATGTTCAGAACCACCAAGATGGTGTGTAGGTCCATGCTTTTATGGAGTGCAGTATTTGAAAAGAAAAAAAAAAAAACATCCTAAGAGTAAAATAGATAAACTAGACCTTCAACCACTTTTAAAGCTATAATAATACTTTAAAAGTGATGGGAAGAGAAAGAGATGTAGCACCATCCCTTCATTTCTGAAGATGCAAAGAAGTATTTGTTAATAAAGAAATTCTGTGTAAATTAAATTTAATACGGGGTTTATGAGCCAACATCCACCCTAAACACCCAGATATACACACCTGAAATAATGGGACACTGCCAGCAGCATCAGATGTACAGAATACCGTAAACTGACTTCAAAAGAGGAGAAAGAGAGAGGAAGACTCTATAATTCAGGCTGCCAGAAGAAGACATTACCATCTAAATAACTGTTTGGCTGTGTTTCCTTCAGAAAACAGTGCGCAAATTATTTATTCGCCGCCCTCTGGGTTAAAAATTGTAAAATGGGAAGCGTAGTGTTTCATACTTTATAAACGGTTGTAGTGCAGTAAAACCCTCTCCACCTGACTAAACGCATCCATTAAGTGTTTTAGCTCACATTTATGACATTTTCTTTTATCTTGTTAAAAAATATACATGAAAAATATTAGATGACGAAAAGCTATGTTTATGGAGCATAGAAAAGGACTAATTCTCAACAGGTCTGTGGCTCAGGATTACTGCACATTGGGACATTTCACACACAGCCCCAGTGCTAATGTGTCCGTCACAGATACAAGGCGGTTTCTCCTTTATCTGAGGCAGGTCAATGTCGCAGCCTGACCAGCAGGGGGCGGTAATGGGACCAGTCGAGTCAAAATGCAACTTTTCACAATCCAACAGTTGAGAATTTGTAAGTGATCTGCATTCATTTCTTTTACGTTAATGCAGCACAAACAGTATGAAACATTATTAAAAGACTTAGACGACGAAGCGAGTTAGAGTGTCTGAATTGTTAGCTTAAGGACCAAGTCATACCATCCGTACGTCAGTCAACCGGCCAGTCAGTCAGTCAGTCCTGGAATGTGAAAGGTTTCCCAAAGTTCCCTCCTTCAAAAATAAATCAATGTGTAAAAGTGCCAGAGTACAGGTACATTTGGATCAACGGCAACAATGTGGTGAGGATGAAGACCAAGATGATTTCAACTGGCTCCTTTCTCCCTACCTCACTTCCCTCCAGCTTTCTCCCTTTCACTTTTTTATTGCTCTTTCTCTCTCTCCTCCCCTCTTTCCCGTGACATAGGTCACTTAGTGTGGCAGAGGAACGATCACCTCCACGTAGTTGAGAGGGAAGAATCCGGATTGGCCACGCAGCATGCCTTCATACCAGTTTTCATCAATCTGATTGGTCAGATTGATGATGTCACCCTCATGGAAGCCCAGCTCGCCTTCGTTCTCCGGATCAAAGTCATAGAGCGCTTTACAGCACGGCTGCTCCGCTGCTGAGAGGACAGATGGAGAGATTTAATGACAATGGGATATTAAGGAGGGATTTGGGGAATGAGGGATATTAGTTTACAGCAGTAATCTGACATTCTAGACAAAAACAGAAGACAAAGTATAGAGTGATAATATGGAAGCCCGTTTCCGACACAGTTGAGTAAAAAAATATAATTCTGTAAGTCATAATAATGAGAAACTTTCTCGTAATTATGACTTAGTATCTCACTAAAAGTTTCTCGTAATTATGACTTAGTATTTCATAAAAATGAGAAATTTTCTCATAACAATTGCTTAAAAAGTGATATATTTTTAATGTATATTTTTAAAAAAGTTTAAAAAAAGTAAACAAAGCATTAAAGAACAAATAAAATGTTTAAAAAATAAACATTTTAAACACTTTCATACTTTATAGCAGGATTTGTTTCGGTAATTGAATTAAAGATGAAATAAAAATAAAATATAAATATTAGATTGATGAAAACTAAAATAACTAAAACCGCAATAAAACTGAAGCTAAAATTAAAGCAAATACTAATAAAAATGATAAAAGCACATAACAACATTATTAAAACAAACTAAAATTAAAATAAACATTGACCAGAAAATAGCAGTTAATTAAAAATATTCATAAATACTACTAAATTAACACTGCTTCAGTAAATTAAGAAAGTTCTCATTTCCCAGTCCAGTCTGTCAAACCAAAGTCAAGCCCTCAGTGAGCAGTGCCGATATACGTGTTAGTTTAACACACAGTTTAAATCCCACTACAACCGCCTGGGTTAGGACAACAAGATGCTTTGTGTTAGTGAGGGGTCGGTTTGGCAAAGCCTGGGTCTGTGGTCATGTGACAGGAGACCTCCAGTTTCAGTCTGTAGCAGGGGCTCACTCTGTTAGGTGGAGCAGCACTCTGTGCTTGAGGCCAACATACAATGCGCACACAGACACTTGTACAGTCTTCTCTTACACACATACACACCTCTTTCCTGTCAAGCACACATTACACATGTCAGGGTAATAAAACTATCAACTAATGGGAGATCTGAACTTTGCATGTTTCAGACAATGTAAATAATCGATGTAAGTAAATTAGAGGGGACTTATCATCGCCGATAGTGGTATTACACAAGGAAATTTTGTTATAGTATATTTGCTTGCCACTTGCTGTTTTTTTACCTTTTTGTAGTTGTGCCACGTCTTAACTATTAAAAATTCCTCCAAACATTCCTATTCTGTTGTGCTTCTTACAATTAGATAAGGAAATCTAACTGAAAAAAAATCGTATTATTTATTAATTAGAGAAGGCTCGCTAGAAAATGTGCAGTTTTGCACATTTCCACCACAAACACATACACTTTCCCATGCAAACATACAGAATCACACACTATCTGACTCACGCAATCTGGGTTTCCATGTGGATATTCTGCCAGACTGGTGGTATGGCTCTGATGACGCAATGGGAAGAGAACACAGAACAGGGTCACTGGCTGACGAAGAGAGCAGCTGACAGCTGTCCATTTGGCCTGTCTATCCCGATATACGCACAGGCGGTCTCATCACACCCTGCCACGGGGCACCGAGCGCACAAAGCACAATGTGCCTTTCTCTCACTAGCCCAAAGCATTTCCTCAATGTAATGAAGATCATCTACCCTCATTTAAGAATAGCTCAATACCTCAAGTGATTCTGGCTACGTAATGCAGGTAAAATGTCTGGTCTTACCTGTATTGCGCATGGGTGGAGCAGATGATGGGGTGAAGCCACCGTTCGACTGTTCGCTGGGGTCTCCAAAGTCAATTACAGGCTTGGGCTTGGGCATATACTCTTTACGAGGACGTGACTGAGCATCTTTCATCCTGGGCGGTTAAACAGGAGTCATATATTGCCTCTTTGAACAGAATCAAGAACAACCACACATGCTCTGAAAGGAGGACACATGTGCTCACATACACACCTGTCTCTGAGTTTGTCAGAAAGTTCATCCAGGATTTGAACAGCCTGTCTGTGGTACTGCAGCTGAGACTCCACCAGTGACGACAGCTGGCTCACCTGCTCAATCTGCACAGGATCACACATGCATAAAATATATGAAGAGTTCAGATGCAAAAACCTCTAAGTGCCATTTGAAATTTTCTTCTTTAATGATCATTTTTATCAAGCTTGTATATTTAAGTTCAGTGATTTCACTTAAATGGCAATGATAATTACCTATTAATTGTTATTTAAGTGAAATTACTGAACTTAAATATACAAGTTTGATAAAAATCATCATTAAAGAAGAAAATTTCAAATGGCATTTAGAGGCTTTTGCATCTGAACTCTTCATATATCTATTTATTTGTTACTTATGCACATCCATGCTTATGGTCACACTGGGCAACCACAACAAACTTCATTAACAAATAGTCACAAATAGTTAATGAGTAATTCCAGAGGCCTTGAGTTCACACCGGACAGCTGAATTTAGACTGGGAGCTCTGCTAGCAGTTCACACTAAACGTTTACTATCATTTAAAACTGTACCATACAGTATCTTCAGTGTATTACTTTACATCTTGAGCCTGATGAGTTTAATATAGTCTTTCCATAGACTCCACTGGCAAATGTTTATTCCCTTCGAAAGTTATTGTAATATTGAACCAACAGATGGCGCTCTGACATCCCCATTAAACATTAGATAAAAACTGCAGCCAAGAAGCAGGAGGATTTTTATCGTTTTGGCAGCTTTACAGGATTACCTGTCTTGACCCCACCCCACTGATGGGCTGGAGTCAAAAAAGGACAGGACATTTTATTCGATACCGCTAATTCTAAAGTGTCAGTCTTAATTCAAAGTCAAAATTGCTTAAGAGAGACAGTTGAGTTGGTATAAAATCAGTATGGCGAGGTGTTCCAGAAAAAACACTGAATTATTCAGTGCTGCTAATAGGATTAGAACAATCCCCAGGACACCCAAAAGCCCCAAAACACACTAAATGAAGCAACAAGCTGTCAGATGGTAAATCCTTACATCAGTTTCCAGAAGGTTGTACATGCTGATCTCAGCCACCTCCTTAGATTCATGAAACTTCTCCAGCGCCTGCCTGACCTCTTCATCTGGAATTTTCCCCTGACGTTTCTTCTTATAGTCAAAATCCAGCCTGCGTCCTTCAAGTTTTTTCAAATGGTGCTGAGAAAGATGGAAACACTTTCAATATAACTAGTGTGGAACCAGACCATATTAAAACATCGAAAAGAAAATTCTAAAACCCTCCTTTCGCTTCTTGAAGAAGACTTTATATTTACTGTACAGTTCCTCATAAATGTAATTAATCTGCAGATCTTTATTTCTTGTAAATAGTCTAGCACAAATCAGAAAATTTGCCAAAATTGAACCTTTAGGGGTACAACAGCTTGTCACTGGGGCAGGGACAACATTGTACCTTATCTACCAGTAAAAGGTGCATATTATTACCTTAAGGCGCTTCACCAGTACCAGCTCGACTTGAGTCGCCTTGATTTTCGCTCCGTTTTCCATTGCAGACCGTACCGCCACCAATAGTATCCGGTCGTCATAGCTATGCCTTTTGTTCCTCGTTGCCCTATCAAGCTCTCGCTGGATCCTCTCTTCGGCAACCAAATAAAGGAAAGTCTGCACCTCCTCGTTTGACCACGGCATTCGAGTTGCCATAATAATAGTAGTAAGTTTAATAACTATCTCTGGCCGAGTATATTCTGGATACTTCATCTGGCACGTGCAATGATGACACAGTGAATGGTGACAATTCTCTCTGACCAATCAGCAGTCGGCATTGTTTTCACGTCACATTTTAGTACCGGCTCTGCATGTCTTAGCTCGCTCAGAACCCGAAAGCAGGTAAACAGGTACAACTTTTACACAGTGGAAAACCAAACAAAGGAGAGCCGAGCCGAGTTGAGCTGGTACTGTGTAGTGGAAAAGCGCCATTAGACAATATGTACCCGTAAGGTACAACTATGATCCTTTCAGGGTTACTGCTCCATTGACAAGCTGTTGTTCCCCCCTAAAGTTAAAATTATTGCAAATTTCTTTCTGAGAGTGTGAGTATCACATGAAAACATTTTCAGTTATATATTGTAGGTATATCTATACACATGTGAGACAGAGAGTGAAAGCAAACCTGTATCTCTCTTAGGTCCTTGTCACACAGGGTTTGTAAAGGGTCGATAAAATTCTGTTTAACATCAATGTCCAAAGAATCCTTCACCTCTGCTAGCCTCTTCATACTTTCACCAACATCAAATAAAGCACCTCCTACAGACACAAATATGGTTGTTTTGTGCATTTGGTTAGCTGGAGAACAGCAAATGATAACTGTGAACTTTTTAAAAGCTGCACTCCTTTTGTAAACCCACCAAAATTTGTTTCCTCTCCGAGTTCCCTGCCAAACTTTGCCATGCATTCTCCCAGCAGCCCCTCGGCCTGTGGATAACCAGGGCTCTTCACCTGCCCTCTGATCTTAGACATAGTGTTTAACATAGACAGCTTTGCACGAGATGCTGTGCGAGACAGAAAGACAAGAACAGTGGCAACAACAGAGAAAGAGAAATATAATGGAAAAGACAGAGAAACGTTTTACAATCATGATCAATTGTGTGCGGGTTTTGTCAGAAAAAAAAAAAGCAGTGTGCTAAATAAAAGCTCCAGGGATGTCTTTGGTCTTACCTGGATTGGGCTGCAGGTACTCTGATGTTTTAGAGATGACTTCTACCACAGCTTTATTTGTCACATCTACTTTCTACAGAAACACAGAGGGGAGATCACTGCACAGAGAACACCTATACACACACACAACACTACAAGCGAAACACAACAACCAACGCAGAATATCTGAAATCTGTGAAAACACAGAGTTTAGTGTTAGAACAAAGTTAAATGTATACCATTGAGCAATATTTTAAGGAGACCTCTGATGACATCACTCAAGTTTAAAGGATTGGATTATTAAAATAAGATTTTAGCCAAAGACACTGCAGTGAATAAATATGTCAAACAATTATAAATACATACAATCATGGACCACTACAGCCACACCACTTTCACTTTGAAAATAAAAGATCAACTTTCCACAAAAACACAGGAGGTGTAGAAAATCTCATTGATGGATGTGTGGGACAGAGGTCAAGCCTTTGAATCATTTTAAATGTTGAAATCAATGTTTTTCGAAAGACTATTGGCAGCGGTGTTTGAAAATTCTCTCTACTTACTCTCTCCAGGTCCTTGAACTCCTCGTCCAGTTTAGTTCCCTCAGCACCACCAACCTTCTCACTCACCATCTAACACAAACAGAGAGAGAAGTCCCTTTTAAACCAGTATGACTATAGTAAGATTAGATCTCGATTGATTCTGGGTAAATTGAGAATAAACAATTTTTCTTTAAATATAGATCACGATGAACAGACAACTAAAAAACAAAAACATGGAATTTACTAAAGGTTCTGGGTTCTGGTAAAATGTTAATTGCTGCAGTCTATTTAAAATTTTTAATCAATTGGAATTAATAACTTTTTAGGCGTCAAAACTTACGCTACTCCTACATCCTACGTCATCAAGTCTTACTCTTGTCGACTAGCATACGCCCGTCTGCCGGAAGCTAGTTATTTCAGTCAGAACCATGCCAGAACCACGTGGAGCACTTTTATCATGGATGGATGTGCTTTGATGGAATTCCAAAAAAATATACCCATTAAACAGCTTGGAAGAGCCAGGACATTTTTTAATATAACTCTGATTGTATTCGTCTTAAAGAATGACATATACACCTAGAATGTCTTCAGGGTGAGTAAATCATGGGCTAATTTTCATTTTTGGGTGAACGATCCCTTAAATGTATTCAAATTTTGCCCAACCAATAAAACAGGTCTCTGAGAAACTGAAGGAAAATGTGTCAGCACACACATGTAAATCCAATTAGCCCTCCCTGCAACTCATTTCTCTTGTGTTCACTTGGGAGGGATCATTTTTCCCTCTGTACTTCCATAGCTTTCATTCTTAACACTTTAAATAGCTCCATATTTATTATCCTGTTTATTCTCAGAAAATCATTGCGAATGTTATGTAGCATATCATCATGCATTACTTGCCTACATCAAAACAAAACAGCTCTGTGTGAACCTGTGTCTGCCACAACAGTTGTTATTCTCAGGACTTGGTAACACATGCTGATCCACTCACTCTTTATGTCCTGAACATGCAACAAAGTACCAGAGACAGTGCAACTGTTGAAACAAGACCACATGTTACATTTCAGTCCACACTAAAATGTTGTTTGTTAAATAGCTTTTCTTGACCATAACTGGAGGAAGCATATATTTCAACATGGAAAGCAATGGATGTTTGTCATATTACGTCATATGAACATTAATCACAAACACATGTCATTTTATGGATGTAACATGCCATGCTGAGAAGTTCATTTTGTTTTTTGCTATTTCTATGGCTGTACTATACTCTAAGCATTTTCTACAGCCTAACCATGTATGTCTAGTTTGTCAACAACACACTTCAAATGGTCTTTAAAGTCCGATTAAAGTTTAAAAAGACTTTTTCATAAAATCCTTAAAAATACACTATGGGAGTTTCTTGCAACATCTGCAGTATAGATCTCTTTAAGACAACCCTTGCTAGCAGTAGAGGTTAAAAACCCAATAAAATTTGCAATGGAATTAAAACATTTTAAACTAGGACATCAATCAAGGCCTTTTACAGCGCAAGCGCCGATCTGTACGGTATCTAGCATGCCGTCTTTCTGTGCAAAAACTGGTGCAAGCATGACAGGACAGAGTCGGATAGGACAGTCTATTGAGTTAACAATGACTAATAATCACAATGCAAAATATTAGTTGACTAAAGACACCAAATTAAGATAGTTCAAAGGCATGGCATTATTGTTGCAGACAAAAGCATTAAATAGATATAACACACAGGGCCTTTAGAAGTTAATAAATTGTTGCTTTCACATCATTTAATGTAAGCCTATAAAGCCTGTAATATTTGTAAATTGTTAGTATAATGTACATATGCAGATTGATGTCTTATTAAAAAAAAAATCCCAGTACTAACACCACCACCACCATGCAATCATGAACAACTTGATTCAATTGAATCAATATGAATAGCAGAGTTATTTTAAGCCAAAGACATCATTACAAGAACAGTCCATTACTGGGTTTGACATTGAGGCGTCTGCTTGCAGTGACCTTTCACTATCTCCAAGGATGTTTGCATATTTGTGCAATTCAGTTTGTTTGGCAGAACAGGAACAGAGAAAACTAATAAATAATTAACCAGTGTTTTGTGACATGTCAATGGGTGCGTCCAAATGTCTCCAATATGTTGAGAGACACAGGATAGAGCTAACGCCATAAACTAGGTGGAAAACATGATACGGCTTAGATTAAGGCAACAGATAAAGACTGACGTGTTCAAGTTCCCATCAATATAACATTTAAGCTAAATGAAGGCAATATTATCAGTTCCACCTTTCTATTTAAAAACAGAAGATGTTCTTTAATGATCTAAATCGGACACTCCCGCAATGAAACTGTACACCTCAGTCCGCTGGCGACAGGATTATGTATATTTACGTCTAGTGGTTGACCGATATATCGCCAACGCCAAGGCTGATGTATCAATGGTATGTGAAAAAGTAAAGCATCGCTTTTATATTATTTGTAACAGAAGAGAAGCAAATAATCAGGCTAAAACAATACCGTCAACATTCAGCAAATGCACATCTACATCATTTAAACAGATCTCTGAACATAAGAAACATTTCATTTCATAAACCTTGGAGATTTATTTAAATCCAGCTGTGATATCTTGTGCATTTGTAGCCTGCATACCTATAAACGTGTTACTGCGAGTGACGGTCGGTCTGTACGAAATGAGTGAATGCGAACAGAAGATCAGCTTCACAGAAGACGCGATCAAAAAACTTTAAATCTCTCATTCTAAAATATGCTGTGCCATATCCAGTGTCCCACTGTGTCATATTCTTAACATTTTTACTGTGTGCTGTACGTAAAATTAGCATTCCCTTGTCTTTATTTGAAAAAAATATGATTACCAGTGTGCAGTTTTTCTTATTTTTTTCACTTATTCTTACTTTTTCTTATTATTGCAGTATAAGCATGATTATTTTAAGGACGTTTTCTAATTTATTACTAATTTATTAAATATTGATTAAAAAAATATAAAGTATATATAAAAATATCGGCTTTGTATCGGCCACCCTGCTCTCTAAGATATCGACATTGGCCATAAAAAAAACAATATCGGTCTACCGTTATATACGACTGAAAGAGGCTTTATCACCAGGTAAAAAGATAATACAGAGGCTCAGCTCTCTCACACACTGTTGATAAAGAATGCAAACAACTGCTAACTTTGACACAAATATGCACACACAAACAGCTGTCCACATAGCCGAAGCAGACCCAGCAGGCACAGACTGAAACCAGGTCCACACTCCATAGATAATGTGGTGCATGCGAGTCTAATCAATAGGAGAACGCATGACTGTGAGTCAACTTCTACAGAAACAACGCAGGAATTTCAGAACAGTCCCTCATTGCACAATCCTCACAAAACAAAACAAATATTAAAGGGATACTTCACCTCAGGAAAGATGAATGTGTCTCTAAAATGGGTCATTTATGTAGAAGAAATGTGAAATAAATAATAATGTGAATTTTGAGCTTTCTAGACTCAGAAAATCTATTTTTGGCTTATGTGGATGAATGACAACAACTCCCAGAATGCACTTGCTTCGCTGCCCTAGGAGGCCACGCCTACCCGTAACAGAGCGCAGTCGTTAAACAACAAGTCTAGGCTACTAGTGAGTCTCTGCGATGAGTCAGCCCAAAGATGTTTTTCGAGATCCCCCAAAATGTCCGGGATTCGGCTTTTGCGTTCTACAGTCGCCATTCATTATGTTTACTGTGGCAAGCAGGACAAGACGCACCGGTCTCGTATCGCTCACGGAGGAGCGGGGATTTTCTTAGGCCCCGTCCACACCAGTGTTTTATCTGCGTATTAGAACTGATCTCCGTCCACATTAAAACGACTGAAAACGCGGATCACGTGAGCATTCACCAACACTGGGCATGCGTGATTGCGTGTGCCGGTGTAAACAGGAAACGGATTGACTATTCCTCAGATTTGAAGAAGAAGAAAGTAATGTTAGCTACCTCTGCAAAGATTAAAAACGATGCACTCACTAACATTACGTAGTCCAGGATGTTTTAGTATGTTTTCTTCCAGGGACAGGTCATGTGATGGGTGGCTGACGAATCAGGGAAGGACACGTCATAACTGATGACACCCAATCATAGAGCCGAGCGTGAACCTCTGCGTACCTAAATCATCTGAAAAGCACTGTTTATTTTGCTCTATTGTATTAATTTGTGTAGTTTTTCTTTATTTTTATTTGACCGGAAGTCATTTTTTCCCTGAACATAGCACAAACAGAATTGTACCGAAACCATGATACAAATCGAACCGTGAGTAATTTGAATCGTTGTAGCCCTATGATTATGTAATCCAAATGAAAGGTGCATTTCTTTAGGCGTGAGCGCGTTCACTATACTAGTCAGCAACGTCAACTTCATCTTTGTAGTTAACACTAACTCAGAAAACACTAGTTTATTAATAAACAATTAAAATGTCTCACATGATTCATGATTATTAGGCTACTTTTGCCTTTTTAGCTTTACGCGAGCGCTTGAGCGCGAGGCATATATTCTGGCCCCAGTGGCCTATATGAGTCATTGAGTCTGTAAAAAAAAGTAAACAAACTGAAAAAAATAAAACCAAATGTTTTTTTTTATTATTCAGTGATATTTAATCTTGTTAAAACGAAATTCAATAAATAGATGTCAGAAAAATATCATTCAAGAACCAGTAACGAGCCCTATCTATCACATCATCAGCCATTATTATTCTTACAATTGTATAGTGTACAATTTTACTGCAGAATGCAAAACATTCCCTGGTGTGTTACATTAAGGCTGCACAATATAACGCTTTAGCTTTGAAGTGAACCATCCGCGATAATCACTCACATCACAGGATGTGCAATGTCAAGTATAGGGAATGGTAGTTGATCTGTGATTCGGGCCAGCTGACCCTTGTTCGTAATGCATGTGATTCGCAGATTAATTGCAAAGTTTAACCATATTATTATATTTTAACCCGCGCATTTATGTTAACCCGAATATACCCGCAGCTTTTTATGTTATCAATGTTAATCAAAAAACAAAACAGAAAACCCCTTTTGTAGCTTTAACAAAAATAAAGTGTACTAATTAATTATATTTAATTTATACAGTGAAGACTATGCAGTGTTATTTTACACTTAAATAATCAATGTTTGTACCTGAATACAGTTAGATATACCCGAAAAACAAAGCACTGTTTATTTCATTTGTATCTTTGTTCTATTAACTATGCTTGTAATTTGTTTAATGTTTCCTATGCAAATGCACTACCCTACAAAATCCCCCCAATCATCCTAGAATTATTAATTATTTACAAATAAAGCTATTCAAATCATCTGGTGAAATGTTTTCAAATCGCAATCTATAGCAGAAAAAGAGAATATTGCAATGTCAGTTTTTTTCAATATCATGCAGCCCTAGTGCACAACAATGTCAAAGTAGCTCAAACAGTTCTATGGACAGCACACCTAGAGGAAGGCTGGTCGGAGGGTGTGACTGGTTAAGAGTTTGTCTTTTGGCAGGGTGTCCGGCCTATGTCAAGTATTGATTACTGTGGAATGCTGGCATGAGTTCTCTGCAGCACTGACTGCAGTCCAATAAAAAAAGCCAAGAAGAGCAGGCGAGAGCACTCCAACCCCCCCTTAGTGTTGAATGATTCATACTGTTCTCCGGCCCAAACACTGGCTGTTTTCCTCTGCCCTGCTGCACTCCTCCACTCATGTAGACCCCTCACTGGGGATCTGAGCATGTTCCTGACAGGAAATTGGCCAACCGATTGTCCTTTCCTGCTGAGATCAGCGAACAGTGACAAGACATACATACGCTGCTTCCCCTACATCTGTGACCATGTGCCCTAAGGAAAACACAACCACTGGCAAAGAGAAACTAACAAATTAATTAAGAAAAAAAAGTTCTTGAGTTAATTACACCATAAACCACAGACAAAGAACCTCCTCACAACACCGCCAGAAGAGCAGCCAAAATCAGTGAGAGGTTTTCCTAACAACACATTTGATTGTCTTCACAGGGTCAAAGTGAGACTTTTGGCACATTGAAAGCCAACACACTGCCTGCTGTGAGCCCGCGCTCAAGTTCTGTTTCATTTTGCCAGTCCCAACATAATAACAAGACAATATCTAGCCGAACTAGATGGACAAGCTTTAGTAAAGCTTTTCTGGCCAGTTATATTTTGAGTTTTTGCTGTTATGCCGCTCACTTTCATGCTCCCATTATAAGTATTTATATATTGGATGGACACCATATTAGTTACTCAGTTTTCTTTTACCATATCATATCACATAATATTTATACAAAAATAGAGGAGAATTTTAAGTCATTTCTCTACTTTGATCAAGCTGATACTGTGAACATCTAACATGCGAAAAATGAATAAAAAATATTTCAGAAGTGTTTCTTCATTTTTTCCTTACTATAATCAAATTGTATCAAACAAAACACATGTTCTTGTTAGTAGTGTTTTATTTTATAATTTTTTTATAGCCTAGTTTTCTGTTCTCATTTTCACTTGTCATCCAGTTAGAATGATATCCAATTAATAAAAATAAAAAAGGAACAAATATCAGCACAAACATGAACAAAAAATATGACATGTGTGATTGACTAAGATGTTTTGTAGAAAAGCTTTGTTTCAACGTATAAAACACTCAATCCTGTTTGACAAAATTACAAAGACTGGTTAATGTTGCTTGTTATTTTCATTCTGTCAGGAATTCTCAAAATGTCTAAATTTTCAGTCTGCTAATTGTCTTGTCATTGAGTAAATTACCTGAAGTACCCAAGCTTGACCAAAATAGTTCTGAAACCTTACAATACACTTTTGTTTTATATAAATAATTTCATTGTATATTCAAATATGCAATATTTTGTATATGCATATTACATTTTTAAAATAGCTCAACAGACGTTAGGAATGACCCAAATGGTGCTAGTTCAATCACATGCAGCAGACAAGTTACATGGTCGACTATTTTCCCATTTGTAAAATCAAAGGCAGTGTGACAGTGTCAAACTTTCCAATTACATATTGCCAGCATAAAGTTTGAACCATAAAAACAAGAGGGCTACAAACACAACACCCATAGAAGACGTGATTGTCCAACAGATGCTAATAAAGGGGACAGTGGTAATCTTTGGTAAGCCTGATGCTGCAGTATATTTTTGGCGTACTTCTACGCAGAATTAGCATATACATGTACATATTTTAAATTACCCTGTTTCATCAGTAGATCATAAGCATAAGCCCACTGCAAAATCGTTCATTTAACAACAGTAAACGTGGCAAACGGACTGATATATTAAGGACGGGGGCGTTGTATTGCAATACCAAGCTAAGAAAACAGACACTCTTCTGCATATTTTAACACATTGCAACCTCTGATTAGATCTGAAAGCGTCCATAAAGTATCAATGACTATTTATGAAAGCTGGCAAAATATTAAATATGGCAATGACTGTAAGTTAGGACAAGACCGACCATTAAAACATAAAGCAAGCAGTTTCTAACTCTACAAAAGGCATGACATTTAACAATAGCACGATTTATCTTTGTAAATATTAAGAAACAGATAAATACAACAAGGAGAAAAACACACTAAACACTTTTAAAATGCAGAATAGCGGGCAGAAGTTTAGCGCAGCGTTAGCATGCTAAGCTATCAGGCACAACACTGCGGTTCAATGGAAGAAAACAACAGGAAAAAAGTAACTCGCAAACCTGGCTGGCTTTGTAAAACTGCTTCTTTAAGCCCGCCACGGACATCTTCAAGGCGTAATCCCCTTTTCTCGACGAAGAAAAGACTTGTAAAGTAGGTTTAATACTGACACAACAGTGTGATAAAAGTCAACGGTCGATGAGTGAAATATAAAACTCAAGTCCTCAGATAAACGACACCCACTCCACACAAAACAAATATTCCAGAAGGCTGGTGTTGGGAAAGTTTTTTTTTTATCAAGTTGTGATATTAAACGTTCTTCTGGTGGCTTTCTACTAAAATGTGACTTTAATACGGGTAATAGTCCATCCACCGCATTTCTTGAGAAACTAGCGGTTTCCTGCGCAACGCAAGCACATTCCTAGCGCAAGCGGAGAAGAGACTGGAAAAGGAACCGCAGCGCCTTCTACCGCTCACGACATGTACTGCACCCACAACTCAATACCACAGTGCTTCTTGATTGACCAGATGATGGAGCCAGATGTCTATTTTAGTGAAGTTCTACAAAAAGGCTGATAGTTTATTATTAAATACTATGCTGAAATGATTTTTAATGTTTTTAAAAGATCTCTTATGCTCACCAAGATGCTTTTATTTGATTAAAAATACAAAAACCAGTAATATTACGAAATATTATTACAATTTATAATAATTGTTTTCTATTTGAATATATTTAAAAATGTTATTTATTCCTGTGAGGCAAAGCTGAATTTTCATCATTATTGAAATAAATCAAGACTTTTATTCAGCAAGGATGCAATGAATTGATCAAAAGGTTCAGTTAAGACATAATTAACATAATTACACACAAAAGAGTCTATTTCAAACAGATGACATATAACTTTCTATTCATCAAAGAATCCTGAAACAAATTGCACACAACTGTTTTCAACATTGATAATAATTTTTGAGTATCAAATATAGTATATTAGAATTATTTCTGAAGGATCATGACTTTTCTCAAAACTTTTTAAATACTTTTATATACTTAAGTAAAAGTACAGAAGTAGGCCTACTCATTTTTAAAAGTACGTAAGTATCAAAAGAAAAAAGTAAATGTCAATGCATTGTTTTATTATTGTTGCATTGTTGTATGTAATAATTACAGTACCTTATGCCTCTGAATCTATGCCTGCCATACCTACCTTCAAATCAATATAAAATGTATTTCTAGAAGTTAGAACACAGTTGGAGTAGTGGGATTGAATGTGAGATTAAATAAATTTACTTAATAATGTCCACAATGGTTTCGTTTCGGACACCCACTGTTCTTTTAAATAGTGCCCTATTTAAAGTTTTTTGGCTTTTAGTATAATATTTTAGCCTTACTGTTATCTATAAGAGTGTGCTCCAAAACAATGACAGAAAATTCACACTAACAAGACCAAACCCAACGTTGAAAATGAAAATCAGGTTGATGTCAGACGCCAGATTGATGTTAATCTCCAATGTTGGAAAGAGGTTGTATTGTGGTTGAAAGTGAAAATCAGGTTGATGTCAGAATCAGAAACTAACATCAGTCGGGTCCTGACGTCAATCTGACTTTCATTTCCAACCAAAATGCAACCCCTGCATCCAAAATCATCCCCTGACTGATGTTACTTACTCAAGGACCTTGACAGAAACATAGAGGAGTAAAAAGTATGACATTTGATTTTTCCAGAGAAAAATCCAGAGAAAAATAATAAGTAAAGAACAGATACTCAAAAAGTGTACTGAAGATCAGTATACTGTAAATGCAGCAAATGTACTTTGTTACTGTCCACCACTGTCTAAATGGGAAAGTTACAATATAGAGTACATTTTATTTTGAATTAAATACATTTGATGAAATATATGTACATATAAAAAACTAATTTAATCATATATATATATATATATATATATATATATATATATATGATTAAAAAAACTAATTTATTTTTTAAATTCGGACATAAAATTACGCAGGATCATTCCTTTAGGAGTTTTTAAAGCCACAAAACACTCGGTATAAAGTAAAAAGACCTTTATTACATTCTGTAATCCATGTGATCCATCCTCATTGTACAATAATTACTCTTTAATGTTTGTTTTATCCTCTGTACCCATAACATATAAAATTATATTCCTTAAAATCTATAATATGATTTATTTACTTAAAAATGAAGTTAAAACTGAAACAACCACAGAAGGATCATGGCAAAGAATAAAGACTCTTTTGGAGGACTTCCTGCTTAAAAATGCTCTTTTAAAAAAAATAGGATTTTAATTCTTCAAGACAAAGGATGACACTAGACGGGTGAGAAAACGTTACAGAAAATTACCGAAATGAAGAAAGAAAATATCACGAAAAAAATAAACAAATATAAAACACAACAACACTAGATTCAAAGATTATATTCATCCTTAATATAGCTTTGATCCTATTCTTTTTTTTTAACCAATTCAAACTGAGAAAGATCTCCAATAGCACTGATATAAGACAGGGGTAAAAGTCTTTGATACTTCTGCAATTAACATTCACAAGAAAAGTTACCGTACACAGTGATCAAGGTTTAAGGTCTTCTATTTGGTGCAAGGTGTCTTGCTAGGCTAACTGAAGAAGACATTTTAGGACAGAGAACCCAGCTATCTCCCTGAGTGACTGAGTGTAGATGTAAACGCACACTTCCAGAACTACCCTCAAGGACGGGGCGGACGCTTGTGGCAGTTTGCAGGGCTGCGAGTTACACTCCACAAAAATCGAAATGGTTTTTACAAAGTAATTGCACCTTGTTACAATCTTTCCCCGCCTTCACACGTCAATTAAAGTCAGTTAATACTAGAAAAGAGTAAAAAAATAAAGAAAACTTTGACAGAACTTAGCGAGGAGGTGTTAAATGATCTGGAGTGCTTATGAAATCCAAGGAGATCCTTGGCTTGTGAGGGCCGTCAATACTAAAAATGGAAAGACTGATTATTGCACGGGCAGACATTACGATACTGTATTAAGCACCCAGAAAATGTGTTTTATACCAACTATATAAAATCTACAGCTAGGCACTGTTCCAGCAGTGCAAACATGAAACATTAGGCAAGCTTGTTAAGTTTAATTGTCAGGAAACTTATCAATCCATCGAAAGATATTTCATACCCTGTAATCTCACGAAAGCTAGAACTGGACACTGAGGGGTTTTGAAAAGCCCTTTTTGGAGCTTCAGTTGGTATTCTGCTTTCTGGACCACTCCTAAATCTCCCCTGAGAGACCAATCTTGTCTTCTTGACTCAGAAGAATGGAGGCTGCTATTAAACTGCGCCGACAGATAGCATACTTTTTTTGTCCTTTGAATTGAACTGCAAAGTTTTGGAACACAAACTAACCATAGTATTCCCTAACTCAGGGGGGTAGCTGATGACTCTGTCAACCAATAGTTGTACTATATGTGAACACAAAGGATAAAGGGGAAAAACAAAACAAATCACACAACAACAGAACACTGATCCGCACATCAGACACAATGCAAAGCATGAGGTATGGCCTGTAAATCCACTTTTCCTCACAGCTGAAACAGAAAAAGTCTCAATTTCGTCATTTCCGCGGTGTCCTGGCGATTGACGGCAAGCTCAGGTTGTCCGTTGTCTCTGAAAATATATGGTTCCTTCCAGCAGCTTACTTCAATGTTCTTTGCGTTCTCCGTTTGAGTGGTTTGCCACACGCTCACATGGAGAATCTGACTTCAGAAAGTCTCCCTCATAGTGCCATTGTCTTTCTGCCATCTAATGTGGGCGACAGCAAAGTCCCGCTCCTGCAAAGTCCTTTTTTGTGGAGTATTTAAGTGCTGTCCGCCTTTCATGCCAATTCCAACTCCAGCCCCAGAATTCCACAGGTATGGTTGGAAAGTCTTTGAAGGGGCTTGAGGACATTCACTCCAAGGTGCAACTTTCGATTTAGTTAGTCCTCTGCCTACATACGCTATCTACAGGCTCTGTTTATAAATATATTCTCAAATACATATATCGTTCTACATACAGGTGGTTTCTGATCAAATGAGGATATCAAAATATCATCTAATATCTTTATCCAAGTGGCATTTGTGTGGGAAAGGGTATTAAGGATGAGGTTTTTGTTAGTTTAGTTGCATCTTTTAAATTTATATGCAAAAATAAAGAGCTCAAAAGACAACACACCACATGCACGTGTGCGCTGCACGTTAGTGTTGAGTCTGTGAACGTGAAGGTGCTCATGTGGCGTTTACGACCTCAGGTGTGTATGCATTGGTCCCATCAAACAGTTTCTCACGGATTCAAAACTGTTTCTCTACAGTAACCAAGTCTCAAGAGCTTGTTTTACATATGGGGCAGGAATACATAATACATTCTGTCTTAATCCTGAGGCTTTGCCACTTGTCAGTTGGGTTACATTCAAAGTTCTTATCCTAAGAGTACTTGGAAAATGGTCCAGGGAAATATCCACTTTTCAAGCACTTCATTTTTAAGGGAGATCTAGGCTCCAGGTTTAATCGAGTACACTTTCATGTATTATGTACTCTGTTTGAGTCACTATATGTCGGTAACATGAGTAATGGAAACTAGCACCTTAAATGACTGCTGTCGTTTAAAAGTGTCTCATAAGAAATCTGGGTCCTGTTCAAATAGTGGAGTGAAGCACTCCATCAGGAGGGAGGATACAGATGGAGACCTAAAGTGTAATGTGCAAGATTGTCAGTATGTTGCTGGTTTTTCTCAAACACATCTACCTTCTATTTCCATTCCCTGTCTTTCTTGATGTTTCTCTCCCTCTCTCTCTCTCTCATCAGAGCCAATTTGACACTTTAATGAACGTTAGCCCTCAGTGGAGTCTGGGAAAGTGATCTCGCTGCAGAAAACCTCTCTGTAGAGAGCAGGGAAGTTGTAGGCCGTTTCTGGGTGAAGGAGGCGGAAAAACTCCAGCTTATCAATATGGAGGTTGCTAATGGACTTCATCATGGGTAACTTGGACACCATCTGTTGAATCAATTGAAAAAGAAGACCGTTATAACATTTTCCTACATAACTTCGTTGGTACAAAAATAAAAATAAAATAAAGGGCTTTTAGATGAATAAAATAAAAATGTTTTGTATATTATTATTTAATTTGAAAGATTAAATATGTAATATTGTAATGTAAATGTTTTTGTTTTTTGGTAAATTCGGGACTTTAATGAATTTTATATAGTACCGTTCAAAAGTTTGGGGTTGGTACGATTTTTTTTCTATTACGCTCTTTAATGCTCACCAAGGTTGCATTTACTTTATTGAAAATATAGTAAACAGTTTAAAGTAACTGTTTTCTGTTTTAATATATTATAAATTGTAATAAATACTTGAAAGCTGAAATTCCAGTGCCATTACTCCAGGCTTCAGTATCACATGATCCTTCAGAAAACATATCTTATTGTCAATGTAAAAACATTTTTGTTATATTTATTTGAACAGCATTTATTTGAAATAGAACACTTAAAATAGTATCATTTTAAATGTATTTAATTTTTTTTATTATTATCAATTTCATTAAAAAAAAAAAAAAAAATTCTTACTGACCTCAAACCTTTGAACGGTATGTGTGTGACAAGTTATTGGGTAATTTGCTTGGCTGTCAGTCTCATTTGTATAAAATATAATTTAAATCTGAATTAAATTTCACCATAAAAGAATGCAACTGACTTTAGTTAAATGTCCCGTCTTGATTTGATTTATAAAGTTTTCCAAACAAGACGTTTGCGAAGGTGAATTCTTGTAGTTCAAATCTTCTGCAGTCAATTCAGAAGGTTTTGATCAGTTTTCAGAATTCACACATAATATAAAACAGTTAGAATGTCAAATTTAACAAGCATGGCTATATTTATTAACGGCATACTGTATGTTTATTTTGAATATCCTGATTTTCTCACATTTAACAGCTGTGAGAGTATGAACTTGCTTTTCCATTCAATCTTTGGATTTCTTCCCAGTACCTTAGAAAGTTTGTCCTCATTGGCACCACTTTTATGAAGCCAGTGTTGCAACGCAACATAGACCTTCTCCTGAAGTTTCTTCACCTTCTGGACATCTGTCAACCAAGGTCGGTCTATGAAATAAATTAGTGGAGGAGTAAACTCAAATGTCTGTAAAGACTAATAAAACTTAAAGATTACTTTAAACGAATGTTATAGTAAAACTACCTGGAGACAGAAGCACAGTGGCGGTAAACAGAGCCATCTCCTCTTCAGACAGCTGTAGCCGGCTCAGGGTTTTAGCCATCTCAAACACAGCACTCACCAGATCATCACAGCCTACAGACAGGAAAAATACATACGATATATAAATAATAGAGCAAAAGTAACAACAGAGAATCGTAGAGAAAAATCATTACATTGTAATTGGCCCAACAAAGAAAGGAAAAGGTAAACCAACTAACTTGACATGGAAATTGACTTAATGTATATTCCATGTTTCTTTAGGTCAAAATAAAGAGTAATCGTGACTTGATTATATGATTAAACAGCACTTGGTGTACCATTGCTCAGGTTAATTGCACACAAGTACCCAAAATGCCCTTTACAATGCTACAGGGTGCTAAATTATGTGAAAGGTTTAGGAGGAGGAGACTCACCGAGCGCTTTAAATAGCTGCGGGCTCGTGAATTTTCCATCGAACAACAGCGTGTTGTTGATTGGGTTGTAGGCCCGACACATTCGGATCAACAGCACGTCCAAGCAGCCTGGATGGTCAGCGCCACATAAAAGATGGACAAAGGAAAGGCAGGAAAGAGGGAGGCAGAGGGAAGAGAGAGGCAAAAGAATGCTCCACACGTACACAAAGGAAAACAAAAAACAATTGGGATTTTAATTGCACAAATTACAAAATGGTTTCAAATTGAGGATTCATTAAAACAGTCATCATTTTCACAGATAAATAGTGATGTCAACATTCAATCGAATGGCATGATGGTTGTTTTAAAGAGAGAGAGAGAAAAAAGTGTTTTTTGTTTTCATTTAAATAACAAATGGGGTAAAACGCACACCACACAATGCACAAAGGGAGGACACAAACGGGAAGAAAGGGTGAGAGAAAACAACAAAGAGCCATTGTCAGAACACAGATGAGAAACTAAGAATACATATGGTCTAAACTCAAACTATTATACTATAAATATGCTGTATTAAAAGATTTAACTAGAGACATAAACTTGGCACTTAAAGAGTATTTACTGCAGGTTTTCACTAATGTGGATTTGGTTGTGGTCTTGCACAGAGTTGATGCTGACCTGCTTTTAGAAGGATAATCTGGTCATTTTGACACAAGTCCATGAATCCAGAGATACGCTTGGCAAACTCCACCACATACTGGATGGCGTTCGTGATGTGCACAGCACACTGCTGCCACAACGTCTCTGTGGACTTGGATAAAGAAATACATGTTAGACACTTCCACCCACATTCTGATCGCAATAATGATGAGCATTTGACATGGTTTGTAATCCACTTTTAATTAGGCTGCTAAAAAAAATTATTGTATTCTGTGGAATTCATTTACGTGGAATTTGAGGTTGGGTAATTGCTAGGATCACAATGTACACATCTTAAAACTTTCTGTTACACCCCATGGTATTAGAGATGTGATGCATCTCATTGGCAGTTGACATACCTTGTTTTGGTAGACACGTATCTCCTCATGTGTATAGAGGGTCCAAGCCAATCTCTTCAGTTCTTCTGAGCTGTACTGACTTGTCTCGATGTGGGATTTAACCACATTCTGTGTAATCCGTTCTAAAGGAAGCATACATTTATACAATTTAACCATGCACAACATCTTTAAAATGTTTGTTAACTATGGAAAGCATATAGGGATATATGATATATTGGCAGATATTAGTGATATTTACTGAATTTATCAGTATCAGTCAACATTGGATATTTAAATGTACATACTCATTAACAAGTTAATATTAAAAACTATTATACATTTTGCTTTGTATTCACTCAGCATACTCAGCTTTTATACTGAGTGTTTTGTGGCTTTAAAAACTCCTAAAGGAATGATCCTGCATAATTTTACGTCCAAAATAAAAAAAAAATATTAGGTTTTTAAATTAAAATCTCAAAACTTCCCATACTTATCTTATCATTTATTTAATTCAAAATAAAATGTACACTCTATTGTAACTTCCCCATTTACAAGTTATATACAGAGGTGGACAGTAACAACTTTATTTTATTTTTCTGGATAACGAAAAATCAAATATCGTACTTTTACTCCACTATGTCACTATGTAAGTAACATCAGTCAGGGGATAGATTTATATAATATATAGTAAATATTTAAAAATGTTACATTTTCAGTATTTAAAATGGATTGATTTTCAACTAATTTTGTTTTTATAGTAGTTTATTCTTTTTTTTTTTTTTTTTTACAAAAGAAATAGTATTAGATATAATTTCAATTTCTTTTTATAATGTTACCAGAAAAATACTAGCGACTACTTATTTCATCATTGATAATAAGAAATGTTTATTTAGCACCAAATCAGCATATTAGAAAGATTAATGAAGGATCAAGGAGTAATGGCTGCTGAAAATTCAGCTTTGTAATAAATTGTAAAAATAGTTCTCAGTGTTACTGATTTAACCGTATTTATGATAACAAAGGTAGCCTTCTTTCAAGTTATATAAAAAAATCTTAATGATCCTAAAATTTTGAACCGTAGTTCAAATTAAAATAAAAGTCCTAATATCACTGTGTACTAACCAATTTCCATCAATGAACAGCCTTCAGGTGGGTTAAGTAATGAGCGAGTGAAGAGTCCCGACTCGTGCAGGGTCTGGTACTCGTGTTTGATGTGTGTCACGTCACTAAATTCATGTCTGCTGGGCTCAGGAGAACTCTGGGAGGACGAACTGCTCCCACCGCTTCCCCCCAGCAGCTCTAGGCTGCAGTAGTCGGCGGCTTCCTCCGGTGTGAGCGGCAGATCCAACAGGAGACCGTCTGGTAGCGTGGTTATGTCATCCAGGTCGCTAAGAGTGGTGCTGGAGCCCCGGCTGTAAGCCCGGCCATGGCTGATCCCGTTCTCCCCAGCCTCATCACCAGCGTGGCCGGGTCCACCATTGCTCAGAACCCCTGCCCGCTCCTGGGACTGCTGGTGCTTCTGAACCTCGGCATAGAGGCTGTCGCGCTGCTTTTTTGACATGCGGCCAAACTTCACCGCTGCAGAGGAAAAAAAGGAGGGTGTTAAAACAAAGACAGCGTTAGATTTGATTGCTGATAAGAACTGACAAAACGGGCCAAACATTATACCAAATATAGCCAGTTGCCATTGGCTATACAAAGTCATTACATTCACACTGAGACCACATCTGTGTTTAATAGGACTCAAGGAGACTCTGAGTCCAGTGAAAACTCCCTTAATTTAGATTAGACTCACCATCGCGGCTCATGCCCAGTGCCAGACACTTCTGCAAGCGGCAGTGCTGGCAACGGTTGCGATTGGTTCGGTCAATAAGACAGTTCCTCTGCCTCGAGCAGGAGTATATCGCATTGTTCTGCTGACTTCGGCGGAAGAAGCCCTTTATGAATGAAAAAGTGAGGGAAAAAAAAAGAGAAGCTGCATTTCCATTTTCTCCATGTTTGTAAATCAATTAAGGATTAAATTTCAAGGATAAAATCAGGGTTTCAAATTAACTCTAAAACCTCATTCTTTTCAAAGCATAGTAAAATCTCAAGGACTTTCTGTATGGACTCGGCTACCAATGCAGTTGTATGATCATTTATTAATGCCATGTGCCCTGGTGGTTAAAAAACATGGTTGAATAATGGGATTCAATTCAGATTTGGCATTTGGCAAAGACTTTTGTGCAGAGAGTCTGAAACAGTAGATCAGCTCTGGCACACACTACGTGTCCTTTGATCAAGGATACAAGCTGATTGAGATTTCTGACTGGTCAAAAAGCCAATCAGATAAAGAGGTTGTATTGTTTACTGTTTCAGGGAACAGTATGAAGACGTCATCAGGGTGTAACTACAAGGTCCTCTACAAGATTTTAATAAGTCTTGTATACACACTGTTTATTGTTATTTTTCCCTCAAGCAATGGGAATATTTCATGGAAAATCGATCAACAGAAACTTTTAAACAAACACGAAAGATATGTAGGTCTAATCCAAAAGTTTTTTCTTCCGTTAAACACAATATTTCTAAAAATGTCTGTTTTATGTCCATATGAAAGTTACTTTAGGTCCTTATGACAATCACTGTATGGACAAAAATCTTTAAAATATCATTATGTGTCGCGCAGAAGAAAGACACGTTTTGAATGACATGAGGCTGAGTAAATATGATAGAATCGTCGTTTTTGGGTGAACTAATCCTTTAAGCCTTATTGGCAAAAGCAAAGATGTCTCAAAGGATGCTCACTTACCTTGCAGCCTTCACAAGTGATCACCCCATAGTGGATGCCCGATGACTTGTCCCCGCAAATCTTGCAGGGGATTACTTCGATTTGAGCTAAGAGAGGGAGAAGTGGTTGAAACATTAGCCAGAGTTATCCTGCACACAGCCTATAGAAGAGTCCTGGCTCAAAGCATTGAAACCCAGCCACTATCTACATAACAGATCTACAGAGAGCTACAGCAGCGTTCTTTGTTTGACACATTGATCTTTGAGCAATCGTTCAATAGCATTAAAAAAGAAATATAGGCCGACACAAAGCCCGGAGGTCTGGTTTGACTCTCACAGTGACGTGGAAACTTTGCTAGTGTCATATTCTTTCAATAATAATAATGAACAGCTAACGCACAATGAGCGGGGTCAAGCGCTACAGCACATATTCAAAGACTCAAGGTTTTAACCCACTCAGGATGAAATAATAACACAAGTCCTTGCACCACAGAATCAAAAACAGATTTATTAACAAAGCTTGCTCTCTGCTTGGCATAGTTGTGCAGGAATTAAGCGGATTGTGATGCTCTGTGTGGGAATTATAAACAGGTGCAGGTTCATGAATAGCGCCTTTGAGCGCAAAGAGTGCTTTAGAACCAAACAAAACTGAGTATATACACAACAAAATGGGCACAAGTAAGTCCTCTACATCCCATTAAAACAAGCTGGTCTTTTCATTATACTGTTTATCTAAGTAGAAGCGCCATCCCAGAATAGCAGGTCGATAGCATTTATCTGCAGGGACCTATGGTTAACAACAAGCACGTATTGCAGACGAGTCAAATGATTCAGGATGGATCCCATCCAATAAAGGTTATTTCCAGGGAACACTGTCCTCTCAGGTGAACTTGATGTAGGAAATGTCAGTAATACGTTTTACGCAATGACGCAATATCTTAGGTAACGGCTAATGTGTTGTGACAAAGAGAGAACCGGCCATCCAGGGATAATGACATGAGGACTCACACTTCGGGCCGAATGCTAGCTGATGCGTGCGTCACATGTGGGAGCAATGGAGGTCGAGTGTGGGGAAAAAAGAGAGAGAGAAGGAGAGACACGTCTGCCTGACATTTCCAGAAGCTAAGTTGATAAACACAATCTCTTCAAGTCATTTTCAAACATTGAGGAGAAAAATAAAGTTTATTCCATAATGTAATATGCCAGTGAAATTATTAAATGGAACATATTCATTTTTTTTCGTTCGCTCTCTTTCCTTCTACCCCATTCTGAGCCCCTGGCCCCCACCCTCCCTGTGTTATATAACTGCTGTCTGGCAACATTCCACGAACACACTCATTCAGAGGAGATCACCCTAGCAACGCAGTGACGAGCATTCCTCCCTCCCGCCCCTCCCACGTTCCCATTGGCTCGTGACAGCGTAGCTTTGATTCTGACTCGCCCGCTCACATGCCACTCACCTGCGTAGCATGGTCAGGCTATGTGGCTTAGCTGTTCTACTGACACACTTTCCTACTGAGCCGAGGGAGGCGCTTGTGCGGTAGCCTCGCAAGCGCTGTAATCTGATTACATTTTTTGTTTTTTCCTTTTTTTTTTACCCCTCTTGGCATGTTTAAGGTGGAACCACAAAATCAAAGACCATCATATTATCAGGAAAAACAGTCATTTTCAAAAACAGCCACTAAAAACAACTCTGATTAACCTTTTTAATCGGAGACGTAAGATCAAGAGGCGCATTTTATGTAATGGCATGGGCTTGATTTATGACTTTTGCACACTTGAAATATCTACAGTACACTTATTAAGGGCCCTGTAACTTACACTTGCCCTCAACATGTGGCAGGCCGTCAAGAATTTGAGCACAGTCCCAGCTGTCTCGGAGCGCTCACATAAAACTATTTTTAAGCTATGGCTTCTGTGCATGGTTACTGGAGGTTGAACTTATCAAGCCTTTTAAGTTTTACTCAGCCTATCGAGTTTTCCCATGCTATGCTTCTGGTGTGTTTTTACACACACACTGCAAAACAAAACCTTTCATATTGCGAGTCGCATAGTAAAATGACAGGTAAAAGCGCACTGAACTGACTACAAAGGAAGTATGGCTGAAATATGAAGTAGCTTTTTCCCATAATATCAATAATTCTGATCAATTTATTAATGAAAATCAAAATAAGTTTATCATTAACTAAATATTTCAGAATCACAAAAAAGATGCCTGCCTGTTGTTTTCATAATACAGTCAGGAACCTTAGTCATAGCCTATGTGTATAAAAGACAAACGAAAGGTTGTCACAATTATTCATAACATCCAGTATCAAGCCAATCACCCATAAACACTTACTTAAATGAAAAGTATATCAAACAGCTCTTGTTTGTTTAGGACTGCTATACAAGCTGGAGGAGAAATGCGGTCAGATTGACGAAAAACTAATTAAGAAGAGATTTATTAGAGTGCTATGTTTATCAGGGCAAGATGGGGTTAGTAATCTAGCTCTCTTATCTCCTCTCTTTTGGCCACTCTATGTCACTTAGTCAGTATGTCAGTCCATCGAACACCAGTCAGCAGTATTACTGCGTGATGCTGGGAAAAACCCAAGACAAATGCAGAGACTTTGCCCTTTTATCTCAAATAATCAAACAACTTTGTTCGGCAACGTCTAAAGGTCCCGTTTACCTTGCACTTTGCATTTGCATAAGAGTGCTTAACTAACCTAACCTGTGTGAGATTTGTGTGCACACTAGTGCATTTTGGAGCCTGCTCTGCGTCCCCACCAGCAAGTTTGCTCTGATCACATGCAAACAGGGTCCCATTTGCATTCACTTATACGCATGTAAGATTTCACAGCAGTTTTGTGGTCAGCAGTCATGATTTTTCCTCTCCCACACATCACTTAAAAGTGACCTACCTATACAAAGTAAATTGAGATTGTGGAATGACACCACAAGACTCTTTAAATATGCACAGAGGGATTGAGTAATTCGTTGGTATAAGTAACAATACCAAGTTGAAAAACAGGAGCTGATAGGGAGTGTAAGGTGACTCTTGATGGGCATTAATTATCTTGATGCCTGATGGGATTAGGAAACAATACAAGCCTCATTCAAAAATAAAATAGGATTTTTTAGAAAAATGTGTATGAAAATATTAAGATGAAAAATCATTAATGAGCCATGAGTCATGACAAAAAAATACATTTTTATTGTAAATGCATGTAAACTAAAACACCATAAGGTGTGTAACAATTATAATGCACTTATTGTTTCTCTCCATTCTAAAAAATCTTGACTTTTTCTAGCAAAAGGAGATTTTAATCCCTTATACTGTAGATCAAGTGGCTGGTCACATTCTCCTATTGCCTGGGCTTAAGTTGTGGTTTAAATAAATGGAAAGTCCATGGGTAGGTGTCAAAGTGCCACTGCATTAAGCTGCTCAGAATTCATTTATAGAAGGCTCATTGCCTAAGTCTTCAAAGCCATGGTGGCTTAAAAGTTACAGCACTCTGCATATAGAAGAGTGTCTTTCCTCTGGATCATGGATAAAGTCAAAAGAAACATACTGAATAAATAATAGCCATTTAATTTCATTTTGCTACATCTCTGCACATTTTGTCAATTCTACTTATTTTCCATTCAGCACATTTTGGGAATTTCAACTAACAAAAGTCTGTACATCCCAGTGTCAATACATAAACATAACTAATTACAGAATATTACTAGGATATAAAAAATACACTATTACAATCTATTAAAGTTAGCTAATATATCAAAGCACACGCAACTAAACTTGACTGAGCCCTTATTGTTACGCATTCGCACCAGCGCAGGCGCTGTTTCCTTCATTCAGCATTTCAGGTTTAGTAAACAGTTTGCCATCATACTGTTTGGCATCCCGAGATTCAGCACTGGGTAAAGGTTAAGATGCCAATATGGAAAAAAGTTAACAGATATTAAAACTGACCAATTCGCGCCCTGATCTATCAGTGATGTAATATGATGTGTAATCATCAATGACAGAAGTAGGTCATTGGAGCAGAAAGACAATCAGACCGGCGGCCATGCTGAGACTGAAAAACAACACACAGCAGATACACCCCCATTCCCTGTACCCCAACAGCTCACAATCACACACTGACATGCAGAGATCTCCCCTGAACTTACTGATAAGCCTTTTCACGATAAAGACACAAACATTCAGCGGAGCTCCAAGTTCAACATGGCGGTTAAGAGCTTATAGCCTACGTGACCAAAGACATATAGGCTATCAACTTTACGCACAACTATAATTCAGTATTTCAACTTTCCAATAAGTAAGCATGCAGTTCAAATAACAGCAGTAAGCACCTAATGATTATTATATTTTTAAGCATTTTCAAACACGTTGTTTAATTCTTACATAATGAGGTGCGCTTAGCGGCAGGTAACAGTAACTACATTGAGACGATTGTTGCCAAATCTAGCAAGAAAAACAAGCAACCTGGTATAATAAAACATAATAAAAAGCAGCTTGCTTTTTAAACTCAAAATATGCAAATAATGTAGAAAAGAGAATTACTTATTTACAATGGCTGAAACCAAAAGGCATCAATTACCTACTCAAGTCTATGTTTGTTACTACAAATTACGTAATTTCAATAAATATAACCCTTTAATAATAATCAAAATATTTCACATACCATCTAACTTATTAAATATGATACATCTCTTTCATGCACATCCCTTCAGCAAAAGTAGCCTAGGCGGTTACAAATTTAGCCTATGCGCGACTATTCTGTCAAAAATGACAAAATATTAACTGACCATAATTATGAAACGAAAAGAAGTAAAACAATCCCACAGAGGTTTTTAAAAAGCGGACATGGCAACACAGAGAGACGTTTCCAACATGACGTTCATCGCTTCCCTCTCACGCTTGCAAGCGAAGAAACCAAACAGAGCTATGCAAAGTTTATGATTTCCGTGTACTGGTTATATTCGGTTTGAGTGGCGAGAAACAATCAAAGTAGTGAAGAAACATGTTACAAACAACCACCAATTGCAACTTTCAAATTATCTGAGCGATATTTTTGCGCGCTTGCGCGTGCCTTACTTTCGTTAGGACTTAGCGCAGTTCGTGCAACACCTAAGCAACACAATCACATCTGTCAAAGTGACAGTTTTTTTCCTATCATTAAACAATTTTATCTTGTTTCTAAAAATGCATTTGCTTTAACTTACCTCTCATTTTGATGATATATTATCTGCGAATGATAATATAACTCCAGCACATTTGAACAGCGCCGAAAGTAAAACTCAGGTGAAAAATTGAAAACTCCAAAACAGAGCAGTTGTAAAACAACAAAAAGAACTTAACCTAATAAGTTATTGCACAGCCTACTTGTTCTTCTCATCTGGTAGTTCAAAGTAAATTCCGCTTCATCGTAGGCTTTTTCCCCCTGCGTAAATGCGCGCACTGTCTGCTATGTGATAAAATGATGCCCTCTACTCTTTCCCTCTCTCTGCGTCTGTGCTACTTTCGGCGCGTGGACTCTCACATGATCTCGCTCCACTGGCCCGCCTAGTGCCCCCAGGCAGCGAAGCGCGCTCCCGCACTCGGACACGCGCTTTAAGGAGGATCCGTGTGCCAGAGCTCGAGCGCGCGTGGGAAAGTGTGGCAGTGTGTCACAACAGTATCGTGGGAATCTCTCGCGGGCTCGCGGTTCCTGCGGCTGCAATATTTAGCGATTACAGCATAGCGCCTACTGAAGAAAAAAAAAAAAATCACAGCATTCTTTTCCTTCCTCACAGAAGCAAACGTGCTTTACTTGACTGCTATACTGCGGCTTTCAACACAATTGTAATAAATAGTCAAATAATTCAAAATTAGGTCAGAGAAAGTGTAGATAGCTTTTTATTGGTTTAAAACAGATCAGTCCAACATAGTTATTTTAGTGAGTGTTTTTCTTAAAAAAGGGAGAGATCTGTATGCTACAATTATGGTTCCTGGGGGGTTGTCTAGTGAGATTTTACTAGGCTATATTTTTCACAAATTTCCATGGTTAGTTGGATATTTTGCAGTTGTGTATGAATTTTAACTCCAGGTTAGTTAAATGGTTGCCTAAATTACAGCCAACTGAAATCCAAGCCACAACACCTCAAAATCAATTATTCTTTAAGCATATATGTATAAGAATACAACAAACCAAAGAAAATAATCCAAGGAAGAACTCAGTGTCATAAGTTTTGCCAAATCATATTTTCATTAAATGGTATAGAAGTATAAATGTTGAGCAGAGATGTTTAAGTTTTAAAGTTTTATAGGTCAATTTTTGATGTTAATAATTAAAATGGCTCTTTTTCTCTTCATACAACATTTAATCATATGCAGCGTTTAATGCTGACAAAAGGGAAAGAACCATGGACATTATGACTAGGGCTGTCAAACGATTAATCGCATCCAAAATAAAAGTTTGTGTTTACATAATATGTGGGTGCACTGTGTATAATTATTTTGTATATATATAAATACACACATATGCATGTATATTTAAGAAAAAAATATTATTCATATATAAAATATTTAAATATAATATAAATTATATATAAATCTATACAAGCATGTATGTGTATTTATATATGAAATAATTATACACAGTGCACCAACATATATTATGTAAACACAAAATTTTATTTTGGATGCGATTAATCGCGATTAATTGTTTGACAGTCCTAATTATGACACATGACACAAGCTTTTAAATACAGACTGTATACTGAAATAAAAACTCATCTGATGGGTAAATGCATGATGTAACCCATAATGCACATTTGGGAGCTCTTATAGGCTACATGATCACTGGTGGGTGCTGGGCAAATATTTTTGAATGGCATAAAACCATTCTTACATCTCAAAGAATGCTATCAAAAAAAAAAAAAAATTGTGAACATCTTGTAGACGAGTTGAGGTTGACCGAGAGCAACATGTTGAAGGAAGGGAGACTGACTTTACTTCAGGAAGCCAAATCTAATAATGGCAATAATGTGGGGGGTGTAATAACAGGACGTGCGAAAGTGTGCGGAAGATAGAAGGAATATGATGTAACCAGGGAGTCTCTATTATGAAATGAGGAGAGAAGAGATTATGGTAAGTAGGTTAGTGGAACAGCGGAAACACGGAAGCTGAAAGAAAGCTTTGTCACCCCCTCCTGCGCAGCCACTCCTTCTATCCTCTGCTTTCTTTCAGTCTATAATCTCTCTTCTGCGTTTTTTTTTTATATATATATTTATGGCCCTTTATATTGCATGATGTCCCTATCATGAACCATGTTTATTCCTCAGACTTTGCCTCCTTTATGCATTGTGTTTTACTTTTACAGCATGAGAAAAATCAATCTTTCCAGCAGTGTTTGTGCAGCGTTGTCAAAACACACCTCCCTCTGGGTAAATATACGGACGTTTCCGCTCCCTTTTCATTATTCTTCTGTTTAGATGTATCTTCCTGTCTCTTCCTTACCTTCCTGCAGTCTTGAATTGTATTTTTTCATTCAAAAGCATGCAGCCTCTTTTCTGTCTTTTTGTCTCTGACAGACACACACACAGCTGACCTCCTGACCATCTGCCTTATATAACCACGATCTCTTAAATTAGATCTGGCTCACTCTTAACAAGAAAGGAGGGGGGGCTGACACTAGATAGAGGCGCACGGAGAGATAGTGAATGAAGCACCGTTTATATTAAATGTCGACTGGAAAACAAGACAAGAATTTTACTGTAAAGTGAGATTAGAACTGCATTATGATCTAATGGCAAATGAATTTCAGGCAATGAGTGGATGAGGTTATGGAGGAATATATTAACAACAATCAGCGCTAGTGTGTTTGGCAGTCGATAAAATGTTGTTTTTTCTGAAGGGATTATTGTAGAATCCAGCTCTCATCGGCGTAATCCCTTCACCACTCCTCTTCGTTATCTGCTTAATCCGCTGACTCTTCTCCTCTTTCAGAGGCTGGATAATCCCTCTCTTTCTCTGTGCAAGGGTGTAATCCAGTTTTACCCTGCCCATCCTCTCCTCCATCATACTCTTCTCCTTTCATCTTCTGTTCCTTTCTCCAGCTCCCCTAGTAATCTTCACCCGAACTAAAAATACCCCTTTAAAATCCCTATTACTTCAATCACATTATATAAACTACATTATATTATATTATAGGAAAGAATGTCCCTGAATGAATCCTTCTGTCCTAGGAGACTTTGAGGATTGAAGTCTGTGTTTATTCCAAACCAGTCGTCTCGGGCCTGTTAAAATTTCCTCCATTGCTCATGGTTTCCATGGCCTGCCTTTTCCCAGATGGCCAGAATTGCATCGACATCCTGGACATTTTGTTTCGCAGCTTAACAAATGAAGTCTCTGAAATATTCTCAATAATTAGAGATGAGTCAACAAAGATGATCTTCTCATACTCATCCACCATTTACAATGGATCATTTTCATACTTTTCTTGTGTGTCTCAAATGAAACTAATGCGCAATAACATAATCATCTTAATCTCAGGCTGCTCCCGCAGGACATCCTCAGTGTCATTAAGAACATGTCAGATGGCGCTACTTGAAAATAAATGAGCAACTTGCATACCGGTGTTTCACGGATTACAGTTCTGGCACATGTATATTACTCATCCAAGTAAACACAAGCTGCACAAATTATTTCTTGAGAGACAGAAAGCCGCAGATGGCATCCTCCCTGGTGGATTTTCGATACGTCAGCAGCTAATAGCGTCATCATAAAAACACAATCAAGTTAAGGACAGTGAAATGGAATTCAAAAAATGACAAAAACAAGTTGTACGGTGACTTAAGGCACCCGCACACAAGATAAACAGGACGATTTTGGGCCCAATTCGTACCTACCGACAATCCAATCATACGATGGACCCTTTGGGCCTGTCCAAAAACCCACACTTGGGGTCTTCGCCACTTGAGAACACGTGCATGCAACAGGAAGCAAGTGTATAAGACTGTCCCATCAAAAAGCGCAGTACCCTCAAAGCACACGAAACAAAACACTACTCCGAATCAGTATTCGAGGCTAATAACACACTATATAATTCAAAATTAGGCTGCATAGTTTAGATCAGCACGTCCCGTAAATCCTGATGTACTTGTTCATCAAAAGAAGGATGGCATCTACGCTACTGTTAGTTTCTGTTTATCCTGAGGGACCCTCTATGGTGGACCTGCGCCTGGACCCATCCCGACTCATCCTCAAGTGCCGGCCTCATCGACACAGACATCGGCACTGATCCTCAACATCTCGTCTCCAAACCGGCGCGATTACTTCGACTTACAAACAGATGGAAATGGACAAATTCTCTTAATGTTTCGATCCAATTTGTTTTGTAATCACAGTTCGTTGGCCAGAGGAGAACTGGGCCCCGACTGAGCCTGGGTTCTCCCAAGGTTTTTTTCTCCATTCAATCACCTGATGGAGTTTTGGTTCCTTGCCACTGTTGCCTTGGCTTTTGGCTTGCTTAGTTGGGGACATTTAATATTCAACAATATATTATTGATCTGTGTTGTGTTATTTTCATGTTATCACTGTGAAGCTGCTTTGATACAATCTGTATTGTAAAAAGCGCTATATAAATAAATCTGACTTGACTAAGCATGTCCTATCGTGCATTAGGTTTGGGATAACGCGTGCCGTGAAATCGTAAGATGTTGCATAGGGGGGACTAAACAGACATTAAGAAGTTTATTTTAAATTGCAAAGTATTGAAAATCAAAATAAAGCACTGTAAACATTTGCATATTTGCAACACTATAAGTGTGTCCCATTTGGCAAACAAAAGTTCTACTCACACTTGCAGTCTTCATGCCTACTTAAACACTGGCCAAATACAGGAAAGACAAGTGGTCAAGTGCAAAGACCGCAAGTATGGGTATTTGGACAGGCCCTTTATTTTCCCATGAGGCCACGATTTGTGAATGGCAGGAAGGCGACGTAACTTAAGCTGGTGGGTCACACGATGATGAGGACATTGCAAAAGTAGTATGTCCAGATTACATTTATACTACACACATTCATCCTATATAGAACATTGATATTTTTTTTTTCGTGAAGCAATTACTTATTCAAAATAAGTACCTACCCAAGAGCATACGTTTCTATACGCAGTGGTGTGCTGTCTTGGTCACATCGTGCACTGTAAAAAATTTATTTTCATGATTTGTAATCACAACATTTTTTCTTTTGTCAAATCAACTTAAATAATTTATATATTTACACATAATACAGATAACATAATATTTTGAGTTTCTGATGATTAAATCAATCTCCTTCATTGTTTTAACTCAATTTTTCCATTTCAATGAACTTAAAATTTTAAGGCAGCCAGGGTACTTAATTTTTTAAGTTGAACCAACAATATTTTTTTTACAGTGGTACTCCATAAGATTTAAAAAAAAAAATCTTTTAGTTTAGGCAAGCCTTAATGGGGTTCTAGATTCTATTCACTAAAGAATCATGAAACATTTTTTAAAACCATTTCGATCA